GCTGATCTCCTCGGAAGCAACGGGTCGAGTGGTGTGCTGAGTCATTCTGCCCTGCCTCGGCTTACACAAGCTTCTTGCACAGAATGCTGTCGCTGAGCGACCGAGGACCTAGCATGGACGCCATGCTGGGGCTCGCGCCGATGAGTTGCATGCAAGCAGCCTGCCCCACACTGCCGAAGGACATCCAAAAAAAGGCGGAATGCCCGCAACCGCGCTCCTTTGCAGAATACTTCGCAGCACTGATCGCAGTGGACCTCCGCCGGGTTGTCCTCCAGGGACCCAGAAAAACCGTGCAAAAATGAAAACTGTTTGTACAGCATTGAGAAGCGGAGCCAAAACAGCACGAGTGTCACTGCCGGGGCCTCGCACTGTCCACAGAATGCCTCGGACTCATTCTGACTCGCTTGCCACACGTCCACATCAGAGCACATCCTAGCTCGTCCGAGTCACCTCGGGCTTTGGGACATGAGAGCCGCCTTAGTTCCACGCAGCGCTCCAGGCATATTCATGCCACTTCACGTCCCCACCCCCCTCCCCGCCCCAATAGCGTTCCATCGGATCCAAGCTGGGCCGCCGGCGCGCTGCAGCTTTGTCACCGTTCATTTTGCCCTGCCTGGGCAATGCGCTTCGTCGAGTTTGTAGCATCGCAGAAATGAAGCAGGCGTTGCTTGCCTCTCTATGGGCAAAGAGTCGCAAGATGGGTCCTGGGCTCTCAAATCAAGCAAGAACTTTCCGAAGCAACAGTGAGTCTGCTCCCTGAGGGTGCTGCGTTGGTCGATCTTGTTGACCTTTACAAAGTCAAAGAGGAGACTCGTTCAATGCAGCAGGAGGTGCACATGACTTGTATCACCCAAAGGACTCCCCAATACATACACTCACCACTGCTCATGAGGAACCATACAATACGTGCACCAATATCAATAACAGCCAAAAAACCCTACTTCATATGACATGTCTAGACTGCCCAAACAGGGACCATGATTTTGAGAACCGACCACATGCCTTTTCCCCACCCTCAGTGTGGGTTGCTAAGTGCCCACCCGCAGAGACAACAGTTGCTCGGCTTTGGGTGGGGCAGATGTTCGAAGATGTTCGAAGATCTCGAGGACACTCGAATATACTCGAAGTACGTGCGTGATGCCGTCTGTAAGGTTCCAATGTTCTGCTGAGGCCAACAGATGCCTTGAAGTCTCACACGCAGCTGAGGCCAGCTCTGAAGGACAGGCGCCGGCAGCACCGTGGGAGAGGTGTCATCAGAGAGGTCTCGCAGCACAACATAGTCAAAATGGTCAAATCTTCACAGACTACAGACGAGAGTGACTAAAGTGACTACAGAGCTAGACTCGGTCCGGCATCTGCCGAATCTGATTCCTCCTATCTCCTGCTGAGCACTGCTTCACTGGAAACTTCGCAAGAAACCATGAAATCCAAGTTGTCCTTAGAGGGCTTGGTGTGTTGAGTGTACTGATTGGCCTGTTTGGACGTGATGGCTTCAGGCACAGAATCCTGTCTTTGCTTTGCGTGGCGGTTCTCGGTTCTCGCTGCTCTAACCTTGAGGATGCTCAGCAAAATTTTGAAGCAAGATGCTGCGCGGTGGTCTGACAGTGCAGAGACCACACTGGGTGTAGGCCAAAATCAAGTGCAATCTGAAGCGTTATCAGGTACAACGGTACAGTTGTGAAAGTTGAGCCGGCCCCAGGTGCATGGATTTCTTTTGGGAACAATGCAGAGTCATGGGCCTTATAGCAGGAAACTGCAAGCCGGCAAGCTACTCGCAATGCGAGGCGAGGACTGGTTTCGGAAGAACTTTCGCTGAAAAACAGTTAACTTTCGCGAAGGTATAAATCTTCATGCTGTGTGCGTCATTGCTTACTAAAACTCCCGCAAGGAAGTTCTGATCAATGCTCATGTGCAAATGTTGTAACTGTTGTACAAACTGCAGCTAAGGTCGCCGCGGGAAGTCTGCACAGCGGGGCTCGCAACTCCACTTGCCAGCCGTGTTGACCTGCCATGTTCGCGTGTTCGGGCATCGGAGTTACAGCTTTGCAATCCAGGACATCAACCTGTCAACTACATCCAGCGCGGCCCGTCTTTGGTACAAACGCTTCCAAGTTGGTGTCTGAGAAACTCTGGCCGACCAGTGGCCAAACAATGTCTGAAGGAATCAGGAATGGCTGAGTCTCAGGCTGCGATGGAGACGAGCAAAGAGTTTCCAGGTATGATGCTGCGGCCGCGTCTACCTGAAGCTGGCCAACAGAAACAAGAAAACCTAGGATACGTTCGGTCAGCGCTGCCTCTGTGACTGCCTGGCAGGCCTCTCGCACACGGCTTCTGCTGTTGCAAAGTTCCACACGTACAAACAAGCCTAAACCCACCGACACACACACACACACACCGCGACCCACCCACACACCCTCACCCTCAGACACACAGCCACACACACACAGAGGCATGGAGTGTTCGACTTAGGACCATGAAGGTCACGAGCTGCCCAAATTGTGGTTGCCGAGACTAAAGTCCACCCCACAGCACGTTAGTGAATGCAGACCAAGTCCCAGATTGCGGAAAATTCAAGGCGCGAACGTCGAGCTTCGAAGGCGAACTGGAGAGAAAACTTCGGGCTACATGACGTCACAAGCAGGATGTGCAGGTACGTTTTCACACCTATCGTCGAAGGTCTTCGTTGGCCGGGCCGCAGAATCGACAGTAGGCCTGCGGCCCCCTGCTACTGAAAACACACGGTTGAGGAAATGTCCTGATTGCGAGGCCGCTCGGAAACAGCGGGTGCACACACACACACACAGACATAGACACAAACACACCCCGACACGGATCGAGCGCAGCAGAAGAGTGGCCTTGCACTGAACGATTGGCTTCCTGGCATACATCGGCAAAGCTATAAATAAAACATAAACAGCATGACAACTTGACTGGATCGATGTGTGGCTACGCGCCTACGCTTCTCCAACGATTCTGCTGCACATTGTAGGCACAGGTGATGCTCACATACCTTTCAGCCAATTTCAGCTGCAAAAACGAGAAGAATGACTCCTGCTCTCCTGTCAACAGGTTAATGTGCCAGGGGCAGACATTCTAGGGTCCAAGGCGAGTCCCAATGTTGTGAGTATTCACCGCGCTCTGATTGTGCCATGTGACATGTGAACACATCTGCGCACGCACTGCAGTTCTAAGTCTAAGACACTAAGAGCTCTTCTTCGCTATCTACAGTTTCGATGGTTCTTTCGGTCCGTCTTGCCACTCTCTTTCTTACCTTGCTTATGAAGCTCATGAGGGAGAAACAGACGCAAAGAAGCAAGACGATGGATGGCAGCAGGATGGTGTGCAAAAAGCCAAGAAAGCCAACAGTGCTAAAGCCAAGGAACCAACAAGAGACACAAGCTCTGACATCAGGAACATTTGTGGCCCTAGGCCGGAAGCCACAGAGCCGAAGCAACGACCTAACACTCGCAGCAAAAGGCTCCGGAAAAATATCCTAAAGAACGTCAGCCCCATGCATCTGCTCGAACCTACGAGATTTCGGCATGGTTCGCCAACGTAGCGCCTTACAGAAAGGCCTTATGGAGGCTGCTGGTAGGCTTGCCACGAGTGTGCTCTGTTGGAGGCTGAGGGCAGGCTAAGGGGTAAGTGGGCAAGGTCCTCCTCTGACCACAATGCAGCTACACATGCAGCTACACATGCAGCTACATGCACTGCTGTGCAGTGCAAGCTGCGCCATGAAGTGGCCTACCTTCAATGTGTATTGACTTTCCGAAGCTCAGAGCAAGACCAACAGAAGAGATGCGCTCTCCAATGAAAGTCCACACCTGGCATAAAAGATACCAACGTGTGCTAAATGCAAGTAAAGTCTCACGTTTATGAGTAGCACCTTGCACAGTGCTGCTCCACGGGGCTGCCACCTGAGAATCACACGGTCACGGATGGCTGTGGTGCTCATGCAGCCTCTTCATTATCTGCAATCCAGACTCTTGGGGAAGTTGCCAGGGACATCAGGGAAGCTTAAGCCAACTGCGAAACTTGAGCCAAAGTTGCACCCAATGGCCCAAACGACTTCACTTGTAGGTGCTCCAACGACAGGTTAGCGAAGGAGTACTCTGTAGAAAGATGATGCAAACGGAGTGGGAACTCCACAAAATTGGGGCAGATGTCAGGTCCCAAATGTGACCGTCCAAGATTTGTCTCCAGCTTCTAACGCAGCCCTGCGCACCTTCTCGTGCAAGAGGCATAAGGGCGGAACACGAAGAATTAGTGCTTGAGGGCTTACAGGGCTTATGGTCATCGCCCTGCCTTTTCTGCTGCGGTTCAGGGTTGCTCAAGGTTGGCAAGTGTGCTTTTTGGGCGGGCCATGCGGATCTCTCGCATCTGTCCATTTCTCACAAAGGAGTGTGGGATTTAGTGTTGAGGAGTGACTTGCACGCGGTGGCAGCCCCTCCGGGCCGGTGGTGCGGAAGATCAGGGCACAGTCAGCGTTAAGCTCTCGAGAGCACTGCTGAGTCAAACAAGCCTGAGCCTGCCAAAACCCGAAAGCACTTCAACGCAATCCGCCACAATGAGGTGGAAGCTGCCGGTCCGCATTCCCACCCCCACACATACGGAATCGAGCAGTGCGAACAAAGCGCGAGTCGGCAGCACTCGGCACAGCAAACGCCACAGCAAACTTCAACACACTTGAAGCCTTCCACTAGAAGTGCCATCGAAAATTGAAAAAAAAAAAAAAAAAAACAGAATCGGCGGCACATACTGCGCCAGTAGATTTGCCAGCAGAATGCAAGTTTTCTCCGGGCCAGTGACTAGCCGAGCCTCTATACAAACTTGCCAAACGTATTGTACCCGACGCAGGAAGTGAGCTCCCCCCGCGGCGTGTTGGGGTCTGACAGCGGCAACTTTGGCCGGAAACAAAGTTTAACAGGCATTCCAAGCTCTCATCGGAAAAAAATCCGCCACGGTCCGGAATACGGCTTGGTGGCTGTTGGAGCATTGAGTCAGGTCACCATGCGAGTCAAATCAGTCCACGTCCTTCCACCGTCTTTCGATGCCTGGCAAGTGAGGGTTAAGGTTTCTAAGCGGCTGCACCATGCCGCGAGGATTTGGGCACAGCCCGAGTGGAGTAAGATGTTATACCGCGGTACGTGCGGGTGGTCCGCTGGCACCCAGCCTACTGGGCCTACTGCCACAAGAACAACCCAAGGCAGTCTCAGCCTCCAACACCTCCTGTTCCTCGTCCACACGAATGTGTACCTGCACAGACCGGCATGGTGCAAAGAGATGCAGGAGTGTTCGCGTTCATGTCAGTCGGCCCTGTTAACTGTACAGTACTTGGCAGTAATATGAAGCCATCCACCTGGCTTTAAGTTCCTGGCCCGCTTGGTTCCGCAAAGGTATACCCCGTGCTCCAAACCTTCTTGGGCATCACATGGCAGACATGCGCTCATGATCACTCATGCTCAACTCGAGTTACGACTGGGCCCCCCCACGACACAGGAGTGCCCTCCAGGCTCGATAACGTCCACGATTGACCAACCGAGCAACCTCGAATTTTCGTCTCTTGGTAGCGGCTGCATTGAGCAGCTTCATATACTTCATACTCTTCATACTCTTCGTACTCTTCATACTCTTCATACTCCTCATACTCCTCATGCTCTTCATACACTTCATACTCTTCATACTCTTCATACTCTTGATACTCCTCATACTCCTCATACTCCTCATACTCCTCATACTCCTCATACTCCTCATGCTCTTCATACACTTCATACTCTTCATACTCTTCCGCTTACAGGAGTCTTAGGCCATGACGGCAGAGTCAACCAAGTCATTCTCGTGTGGCCTGTATTCCCACCTTGTGAATTGATGTGGATTATCCAGAGCAGTAGGGGGTCACGCATGCAGTACTCAGGAAAGCACGCTGAGAGTACTCCATCCTGAACCCATGCAAAAACACATGCAACAGAAAAATCGCAATGCCCGGACGCGCTTCAGCTCTGACAGCTGCCTCTTCAGGGAGAGACGCGCCCAGGCAAGCGGCAGCAAGCGCACCCTGCCTGAGTGCGGCTGTCTCGTGCCTTTCGAGCTCGCATCGCGTGTAGAGTGCACGAAGACAGGGGAAACTGAGTTGCCGTCAGGCTGCTGCCTCGCAAAAAGCCAATGGCAATATGTATACTCAGCTATACGCCGCGCGGGCCTGGCCGATCACCGGTGTCCGTGACACCAGAAGCCATGATTCCCTCAAAGGGCATCAAGCACCCACAACACAAAGCGTCAGCTGATTCAATCAAAGCAGAGCCCCCGAAGTGACGAAATGATCATAGCTTGCCTGAGTGTGACTGTTGGCGGCGCTCTGCCGCGACCCGCTCGACATACTCAAGCTGGCAAGGTGAAGCTCGTTGCATCTTGACTCGTGTGCTGTGTAGAAACCAAACGAATCAGCAGTGTACGAGTCATACGTGCCAACGGCCTGCTCATAGCGCCAAGCTTGTCCGCTGTTGGAAGCCCTGCAGATACACAGGATCTGTGCGACTGTTTATCTTGGCCTGCCGCAACTTCGACCAATGTTTACGGCTGTTTGCTCAGAAGTACTGTACTTGAGTTTTGGATCCTCGTGGCACTGCGCTGGTCCAAGCAAAGCAGGATGTGTGGTCTCACGGGGGGGGGGGGGGGGGGCATAACGCAGAAACCGAAGAGGGAAGATCACTAGGTATCTTGTAGCACAGTTTGGCACGATCAATTCGAGATTCCAAGTATGAAACATAGAGTGAAATGCGCCCTCTAGACTTTCTCGTTTAGGACCTCCCTATAAACCTGGCAAACTGTTTGTAACCTCTTTACCGCGCCTTTGATTTCTCGGACCTTCCCCTGGACTCCCAACGACCTTCTCTTTACCTGGACCTCGGACGACGACCCCATGATTACAACTCCCGATGCACCCTGACAACGTTGTTCTGGGGATTCCTGTGCAGTATGCATCCCAAGCAGGGTCTTGGGGTTCATATGAGGGTCCATAGCAGCAAAGGGTCAAGGTCCATAGCATAAGGGTCCATAGGAGTGTATGGGGTTACATGGTGGTGCATAGGGAGTCAGAGCAGGGTCTGCAGTATTGGACCCTTCTGTGCACCCATCGGACCCTATGACCCTATGACATGTACTCCCTTGCTATTGATGCCTCTATGAACACTATGTACCCCGACAAATGCGTATACCCTGGACCTCCATGTGCACCTTATTCAGATAAACCATGTGCCCACAGTATGTCCCTGCGACTGCTCTTTGGACGCCCCGAACCTGCCTGCCAGGAGCCAACCCGGTAGTGGGGTGCAGTTCTTGCTTGGGCGCGCGGCTTTTGAGCTCACGGTGCAGTTTCAGACTAGAAGGTGGCTGTGGGCCCAAGAATTGCGCGGGGTGCAATATGGGGCAACTGTGACCTCGGGGACCTCCTTCCCTGCATCTTTGGACCTGTTCATGGACCTCCTACGGACCCCTACGGATACCTGTGAATGCGCACGCAGGCTGCGCCGAGGCGGGGCGCGTTTAGGGCCCAGATTCGCGTGAATAGGAGGCCTGGGTCTGTGTTGGTCCATGCTGCATTTGTTCAACTATGCTCCGTTTCTGCCAGTATCTATCTTCTTCAACCTGCTGTTTCTAGTCCTTGAGGCACACGGAAGGGTGAGAGTATGCAGGTAGAACTGCGCAGGGCCCTGGCAACACTTTGTGGTTTGCCCGCGCCTGCGTGACACTGGCTTGTTCAGAGCAGCCGCACGCAGGCTTGAAAGATGGACTCTGGTCTCTCGTTATCTGGGGCCTGGAGCCGGACCCCGAAACCCCCTCAACCTTGATGAAAAAATTAATGAAACCCTAAACCCCAGCCGTCCAAAACCCAAGCTCAGGAACACCACCTTGGTCTCGACCAGCTGCAAGCTTCTCCAGCTCCGTCATCTGCTGCCTCCGCGAGGAACTAAGCAATCGAGTGGCATCGTTGTTAAATGTTTTAAAGCCCCGGCCGCTCCTCAGCCGCCTCATCTCGCGCAGCAACTCCTGGAGAGAAGCGCTCCAGATCCGTGGCCGCACGGTCACAAAATGGGTCCCTAAGACGGGTCCTGACTCTGCCTGCCAGTGCTCGGAGGCTCGGGACACTCGAGCCTTGAGGACATCAATTTGGAAAGCCATGAAAATGCACAGATCAAAGACACATCAAGCCCTTCTGAGACAAACTGCAAGACAGTGCGCAAGTTGCGGGGAACACTTGCAGAGCCTTGGCCCGGACTCTGAGATGCAGTCGTCCTGTGGAGAAAAAAAGTTCAACCACATTTGCACCCAAGAGCGCATTTTGCCCACACGACTGGACTTTCACAGAGTTGATATGATTCAAACGGCCTCAGAGTATGGGGAAGGGGTGACACGTAGTTCCCGCCCAGGAGAGTCTGCCAGCCTGCGGTCAAAGTGCCACTGTTGCTGTCACCTTTGCCTCTGAGACTCCTGGGCCTGAAGGATTCCCACGCTGACTCAGCGTGCTGAAGCGCTGGCCTAATGAGATACCAGACATTGCTGAACACAGCTCCGCCCAAGCAACGTATCTCGGGTTCCAGCGATGCTGAGCGTGGACCTGTGCTAGGACCTGCACTACAGCAATGAGCATCCCGACAAAGAGAAGTCACGGCCACGCTTTGGGAAGGTCTGCTACGTGGCATGCAGTGGTGCGATCTTCGATGCAATTCTCTCGTACCTCGGAGATCTCCGGCCGAGTCGTTGACCAGAGTCTCCTAAAAAACAGAACAGAACTCAACAGAATGACATCGGGACGCTGCATGTTGCACCCTTACATACGCCAACGATGTGCTCGACAAGTGGATGCCGTTCTCACGATCGGCAACATATGGTGAGATGTTGGAGTCGCGTCGGAACGCGCTTTTTCACGCTGCATATAGAACCGGTGGCACACAAGCCTCTCTTATAAGATATCGATAAGCATGAGAAAAATGGGCTGACGCCACCGCCTTCTAGCCTTCGGCTCCGAGACAAGAAGCTTGAACGTCATGCTGAAAGCTATCTTTGGCTGTTTCACAAGGGCATCGGGAAATTAGGGGAATTCGGGCTTCACCCGCAAGCCCCAGGCCCGAAATCTGCATTGCACGATTGCCGATGCGTGCAGAAAAGGGCGCATGGGGGTTGGGGGATCGAAATACGATGCTTCTCTGACTCTAAAGGCGGCGGCATCTGGGGCTAGAGTCGCGCAAACTCGGGCGGCATCTAGCCCGTGCGTCTTGGCATTCAAAACACACTGCCATAGCTCTGTATCTTAATTGGAAAGCTTTACAAGAAGTTTAGACTGTGAGAAAACTCCAATAGAAGGTTGCCTGGCACGATCCCAGGCCATGTACAAAAAGGAATCTGATATGGTTGAAGCCAAGAATAAATGACAGCAAAACAAATGTTCAGAACCAGCAATCTCCAAGTTTGGAGGCAAGCGACTGCTGGTTTAAGCGCAAATCGCCGAGTGAAGGCGATTTTGCGATGAAGACAAGCGCTCTTTGGCGATGTCCAAACTGTTGTTGCAGTGTTCCAAGCTGAATATGCATGGAAAACTGAGGAATGCAGCTGTCTCGGTTCCTAACCGCTGGCCCTGCAAACACTGGCATGACATGTGATTCTACTTCCTATGGCTTTACACTTCACAGGACTTGCTCGTCATCGATTTACAACTTTTGTGGCAAAAGAAGGCCGGTCTGATCAGAAAGGAGGTGGCATTCAGGGTGCAATTTGGGAGACCTGCATGGCTGGGCAGGAAAGGAAGCGTCAAGAAATCAGTGGCCAAGGGATTTGGCTTCTGCAAGTGCAAAGCAAAATGCTCGGCGTCACCTGCTCGGCGTCGCGCCGTACTAAACTGTAAGACGAGGTGGGGGGGGGGGGGTCATACATCTTCTAACCAAAGCAACGTCGTCCTCTGAGACTTTCTGCCTAACGCTTCGCGCTTCATGGAGGAAACAGCTCAACAAGTAACAAGTACATTCAGGGTAGGCATCATTTTTGCAAGATCTATCCGATTTATCCTATGCGATGAAAATGCCTCACAGCTGCTGCCACAAGCATGCCTCACATTTGTTGCGACGAGCTCGAGGGAATGTCAGGAATGCCCATGGCCTCACGGTTTCGACTGACACCATGAATGACAGAATCCCGTTCAAAATGTGTCCTGGGGATTCCTGGGATGTTGGGCTGACGGTGGTGTCCAGAGACGATAGTTCTTCCCGACCGAAGCAGAAGATGCAGAATACGGCATGTCGAGCTGTCTTTCAACTCTCAAAGCTGCGCATGTGTCTTAACCAATGGCACATTGTTTAACGTCGAGATGCCTGCAGGGACATGCGTCAGGTTGAATGCGATGTCTGAAAGACATGCTAGTTTCCAGCCCGGCTTCTCCTGTGCTGTCTTGCCAAACAAAGTTTGCCAGCGCTACCCTTGTGGATTCTTTCACCTCACCCAGTGACCGTATGCATCACAAACAATATACACCAATCGCGGAAACATGCATCAATCAATACGAATCCCCAAGTAGACGCTGCATTTCAAGCAGCCGCGAAGAACATGTTGAAACCCCGTACATGTGGCAGCTAACGGCTTGTTTCATGTGCTATGTGCTTGGCCAGGAATCCCCGAGGAGACGCTGCGCTCTCTGCAACCGTGTTCAGGTTGCAGTGCTGGCAGCTGCTAACTACCACAAAATTGTGGGAGAAATCCTGATGTGGCACAACAACCCAAGTCGAGGACCAGAGGATGCTGTGAGTCAGGCAACAAGTCTGGCAACCAAGAAGGGACCGATGTCACTATGATATTACTATGATATTACTATGATATTACTATGACATTACTATGACATTACTATGATTCCATGATACTACTATTTCATGTGCCATAATAGGTACACCCGCCTGTGCAGAAGGAGCCTCACTCTGCGCCTGATTTCGGGCAACGTCGCTTTTCAGAGAAATTGCACCGTAACCCCCAAGTCATGCACACCCGTATCAGCTCAAACGGCGTGACCAATCTTGTGCCTGGTCGCGATTGAGGGCACGCAGCACAGAAGCTGCATACTTCTTCGTCATGGGACCTTCACCACTGTGTCTGAATTCTGGCTCGTAAACCATCGACCTCAGATCGTGGCCGGGGCCCGGGCTGGCTTTGGAAAGCTGCGCTGCGCCACTGATATCCTGGCACAACATGGCTTCATGAGTGTACTCTACGGGCTTTGAACTAGAGCAGCCCTGGCAACTCTGCAAAGCCACCTCGCGAGCAGCAGCAGCCTTGATAAGCACGGACGTTTTTCTCCAAGTGAACAATGTGCATGAGGCCAGGAGCCGCGCGGACTCGCTCCTGAAAGCCTCAATAGCTCTGAATGCAACAGCACGCAGCCCGTGCATCAAAGTGTGCAATCAACACCAAGTGCGAAACCTCAACTACAATTTGCTTGCACTCCTCGCGCACCTCAGAGCTCTTGCAAGTGAAGCGGATGTCGGAAGAAGGTGCCGAGATCCACTCGATCCACTCGATCCACGCTGTGAGCCCCACCATTTTGGGTGGTCGGTCCTTCTTCGGCTTGGCCTCAGTCGAGCTAGGTCTAAGATGGTCTAAAGTCCTCGCTCGGCAACCGTGTCTGAGAGTCAGACGTGGCTCAGGTGACAATATTTGCAAGACCTGCAAACTTTGTCGCGCAAGATGTTGACCGATCAGGGCTGCAAACGCACAGTCGCTTTAACCAAACGAGAAGCGAACAAGGGGCACGTAGCCGTGCAGAGGACAACATGAGCAGTCTTCGAAAAAGACAGTAATATTACCCGTGCCGAAGGCTCCAGCCAGTTTGTTTCCGGATCCCCGCACTAGAAACAAATCAGTGCAGGCAGCACATTGGTGGAGTCTGGTCAAGACTTGCTACAAGGCACCTTTCGGCAGATGCACTTCCAGAGTCCATCACTTGATTACCCGAGCTCTTTGAGAAGCGCACTGCACTTGACGGCTTATGCATTTTCTGCTGCACTAACATCGAAGAAGCGTGAGCACGAGTGGGACATAATCGATTTCAGTATACATGCAAACGAGATGATCAACGAAATTTCCTTACAGCAGGGCCATCTTCACCTCTTGATAAGCTAGTGAGCCAACAAGTAGCAAATGCCACCAGATGCAACATAGGCCGCAATGTCATAACGTGACAAACAGAGCAGTGAACAACAATCAGAGCAAGGCTGGAGTAGAGAGCAATATGTTGCAATACGTTCTGCGTAGTTCTGGTTGTGCCTGCCAAACTGACATCCAGGCTTGCTGAAAGCGTAGAAGCAAGGCTTGCCTCAGCCAGCGCAAGAGAATGGTGTTGGGGATAATGGATTGAAAGAGAGCAGGAGAAGAAAGCAAAACAGGACAGCGAGAGAGTGTGTCAAGAGAGCTGAAAGAAAGGATCAGGAAGAGCAAGGGGGACGCGAGGGCACTGAAATCCAATCGATGCTGGTTTAATGCCCACTTGCTGAATTAAGAAATCGGCACGTACCCTCAGCGTGCCGAAGAGATCCCACAGTGGGGATGTCATCAGGCAAGTCCTTCATCTCGATTCGGACAAGCAAATTTCACACATTTTCACACATACCCACGATTCGTACTCTTCTGCCAAAGGTTTCCTGCTCCTCTGCTTCTTGCCGCGTACTTGCTGCCGCAAAGGATGGACCTCCTGCACAAAAACTTCCAGAAAAGGCGAAGAACACGGTTCCGTGACTGCTCTTCTGGGTAATTGTGGACGTTCTCTAAGCGCTCTAGGTCGGTCCTGCACCTGAACAAGTCGGCATAGGCAAGTTACTAGGCGACCTTCCGAAGCAAACGTGTCACATGCACCGCATGTGAAAAGCAGGAGGGGGCACCGAGAAGACCCTGAACAGCGGTGAATCCACACCATCCACAGCCCCGCTGTTCTCGTGGTATACAACATGGAGTCTGCAGCCTTGCAATAACGTGGGGGCAACGAAGGACGATTCAATGTTGACATGCCAAGCTGGTGCAGTGGCAAGCGAAGATGGTTTCACTGTGTGGTACGAAACCATCCGGGCCAAAGCACTTGCCATGCGCGGCTGCATATTCAATAGTACCTGCTGAAAGCCGCACCTGTCGTGTCCGTAAACGACGCTCGTTTTCGATGAGCAAACCGAGTCTGAGTTCAACAGGCTAACACCAAGAGGTGTCTGTTTATCGCATCTTTTCCCTTATCCAGGCAAGTTGTTGTGTAGCTCGTTCGAATCAATGCGCGTGCATCTCTCTGATACTCACTGCTGTGTCTTTGTCCGGTTTGTTCTTGTCCTGTCTGGCCTGTCTGTGTTGGCATCGGCTCCTGTAAAGCCAAAGCAGCAAGTCGCGGATAGGCACGCCTGCATTTGTTTTCAACACATTGTCCCCGTCGTCAAGTGGATGAAGGGAGCTATATCGGGCCACCCACAAAAGGAAAGCCGCTGCTGCAGCCAATCTGGGACAACCACTTGTTGCCCGTCCACTGGTCTCCACACACCTTCCTGCATTTCCCTGACACATTGGCAGGTTCGTGAATGCTGTGTGCTTCTGGCGATACTGCTGTGAGACCTCGAATTCGGTACCCGCGGTGCTTTCGGAACTTCCCGGAGGATTCGCCGCGAGCTCTAGCTTCGCATGACAGACCACGCAAGCTTCCCTACGTCAAAATGCCCTACCCTCCTTGGTGTCATGAAAGAACTCACTGCACTCCTGAGGCCCCAGCGGTGACCAGCTAGACATCACTGGGGTCAGCTCCGTATACGGCGGAAATCCCATCCTTTACGTGTCGGCTTGAAGCTAGTGTTTCCTCGGCATCTTGCAAAGACCTGGCTATCTTTGATTTTCTTTCAACCTACCTGATCCGAGCAGCATCCCTAGTGGTTGTTTAGATTTGTTTAGGCTCTTCTTTTGGAACGATGAAAGGGGTTCGGGCTTCTTTGCTCTTACTTTGGATGCTTGCAGCGCTTTCCTGAGCTTCCAATAAACACATAAATGAGAATAGGAAACCGACGGAACCGCCTCAAGCAGAAAAGGATCAGTTGTGCTCAGGCATTGGAGTGCGACCCAGAACCCACAAGGCTTGGATTCTAGAAACTACCAAAAGAATGCAAGGACATCATTTTGCACAGAACAGTAAAGCATGCTTTCTTGGGATTGTCGTGATTCTTGCAGCCGTGCACTGTGCAGGTTTCTGAACGCGAAAACAGCACCCATCCCTCACCCTAGCTGCCCCTGAGTTTGCGGGGGGTGCGGCAGAATGCGGTAGGGGCGGGGTCCATGACGAAGCATGGGGCACGGTTTGGGGCTCATCTGGCGGAGGCTCGACAGACTTTGAGGCCCTGGACCACAGGTTCCGTTTTGGCTTTTCAGCGACAAGTGGCCGTTCAGCAAGCGGGGAGCATTTGCTTGAAGGTTCTTCAGATCGAAAAAGGGTGGGAGGTGCTTCGCTGCAACTAAACCCGCATCCACAGGATTCTGCCAGATGCAGACCTCATTGGGTGACCTCATGGCGCGAAGGGGAAGGAATCTTAAATCTGAAAACCGAAGACCTCAAGGGTTAGCAGCTTAGGACCAACCGCCCCGAACAAACCTTCAGGCATTGGCGACCTTACAGACTCAACACTAGAAGCGCAAACAAAACTTCCCGTCATCGTCCAATCGTTGACAAGCAGAATCGTGCGAACCGAACCGTTGGAAAACAACTCGCACAGCGCCACACTAAGGCTCAAATGATCAAATGTTTCTTGCATGCCGGATGGAGAGCAGGCAAGGGCGCGAGAGGGAGGGGGATGCGCACTGAGTCGCGGGCAGATTCTGCGGAACAAGGTGGGTGTAGCTTGTCACCTGCACAAAGGCACCCACTGCATCCGAAGAGATGCAGGAGACGGCAAAGGCCAGACCTGGGCTGTACCCATAAGCTGCTGCACCTGTCAGGTCTTCCATCTTCGTGAAGTTTCGGAAAAGTTTCCTGTAATGCAAGAAGCAACCAAGACAAGAAACCGCTCCTCATTTGCCCTCTGCTGCAGCAGCAGGTTTGCATGCTGAATCTCAGCCTTGCCAGGGTGTGTCCAGGCTTAGTATTCGGCTTGTGGGAATGGACCCCTCCGCATTCCAAAAGCCCATACTCCTGAAACACGCTACAAGGCCCGGCTTGCGCAACTAATCTTGATGATCGTATCACCAGAGTATCCGCTAAGCCGCTAAGCAGTAGCGTTGCTCCACGAGAGTAGCTCACCTCCCTGCATAGACCTCAAGATGGCCCTGGCATGTATGGCAACCAACTCCCCTGCCACAACACATCGAGACTTGCAAAACAATTGTGCTCGGCTGAACAGCCTTTGGGCCGTACTCTTTCGTGGCTACGGCTTCCCAAGCCAACTCCCTCCGAAGCCAACAACATCCGATACTGCTACCGTGCTGGAATCCCGGGTGGCCGAAAGAACTTGTGGCAACTACTTCTTAGGCAGCGGCCGTCAAAATTGCGTTTAATTCTCTTCCTCGCTCATTTTCGAAACCTGCAAGGGTTCACGAGCTGCAGTCTGGCACAGGCAAGGTAGTCACATGTTGACCCTGCACTCGCTGCCATCACGACCCATCTCTTCTCAAAATCGCACGGGAAATGTGATGGAAACCACGAGAACATCCATTTGGCTGCCGTCTGGGGCAGGGGCGCAAGGCTTCGAGTTGCACATCCAATTGCCTGATCCTTTCATAGGCGAATCTCAGCTCCTTGGCCGACATGGCTGAACTCCTTTCGATGGCAAATGAAAGAAAAGGGCGAAAACATCCTCTGGACCTTTTGGTTTGGGTTTTGGGACGCGCTTTCTTGCTGGACAAGGGGAGGGGTGGAGCTTCTTCTTTTTCGCACAAGACCTTTGATTTTGTCATCGGAAAACCCACATCTATACGTGCGTAAGACAACTTGCCTGTGTTTCCTCTACATGTTCTTGGGATGTCTTTCCCACACTAAGGGCCCAAGCTACGGACCTTGGCATGCACTTCGTCGATACATCTTTCACCTCATAACCCTCTGCTGCCTCTACCACGACAGCACTGTTTCAGAAATCATAAGGCTTAGAGGCTTAGAAACGAGCATCCTCCTGCGAAAAGTCAGAAAGTCAGAACGAGGACACCCAAGGCTGGGGGTGGGGTGAGCCACTCTGTAACAGACTGGCAAAGGCATTGACCTGAGGCATCTCTCCACACCCAGATCTCTCGATTGTTGAGTATTTTGTTTGCTTGGAATGGGTACCCTGGTCGACCATCAGGAATTTCAATTTCTGCCACCCCCACCCACCCAAAACCTTTTGTGTAGTAGAGGCTGCCTTGCTTGGCTCGTTGTTGCTTTACTTTGACGGTACGTGAGCTCTCCCTTTCACCACCTTGCCACGTTCCATTCTCTTTCTCCACCCACCCCCGTCTTCCCCCTTCTAAGAGTCTAACCTCCGCCCCCTTACTTGTCCCTACCTGCGCACCTGTTTCGCTTTCGGCTACTCCATCTCCCCTGCCTTCCACAGAGCTGGCCTTGCCGCCCCATCGACCCCCCACCCCCTTGCGCAATTTCTTTTCTTTTCTTTCTTATCTGTATGGCTTTTTCTTTCTTTGTATCTTTCTCTCTTCCTCTGTGTCTTTCTTGTTTCTTTCCTTCTTTCTTTCTTGGGTGCGAGGGGGAGACTCCCGCGCCAAGGTGCGCCCTGATCCCATGTCCCCTGCCCTCTTCTTCTTCTCCTTCTTCTTCTGCTGCTGCCCTACTCTCTCCCTCTCGAAAGAGGCCGCCCCAAGGGGCACGCTCCACCGAGTCAGTCGGTGTGAAACGGGTGCTTGGTGGGGTTCAGTTACACCAAAAGTTTTGTGGTGTGATCCAACGAGAAGTTAGGGGAAAACTATCACGATGCTCACCAGCGAGTCTTCTTCTTGTACGGGGCATGAGGAGAAGGGAAGTTACCCTACCCCCTGCGCACTGGGCGCGTCCACACCAACGAGTCTCTCTCTCTCTCTCTCTCACCAGCGAGTGTCTCTCTTCTTCTTCTTCGGGGCTTGAAGGGCGCACAAGCACCCTCCGCGCGAGTGTCTGTCTCTGTCTCTCTCTCTCGCTCTTCGATCTGTCTGACTTGTCTTTGCTTACTTTTCTTTTGTCGAATGTTACGGGTTTCTTTCCTTGTTTCGCTATTTACTTTGCTCTTCTTGCTTTCTTTCCGGCCTTTTGGCAACTTGGCCCCCCAAAAAAAAAGAAAAACAATAAATGAAAAGCACGAAACATGTCCAGAACGTAAACAATGAAACTTACGGTCCGACATGAAACTGGCATGTCCCAGGTGTTGAGCCACGGACCGACTGGAGTTCGTCAACAAACGACCTGCTCCGCGCTGCCCCCGCATGGCCCCCGCATAGCCCCGCATTACCCCCGCATACCGCAGTGCCCCGCTATTCCAAGGAAAGTCTGGGCTGAGGTCCGAGCAGACCACCGCTGGGGCTTCCACGGGGCGCTGCCCCTTGCATTGCCTGCAATACGGTGGCGTACAGTGGGTGCAGTTGAGTCCGGTGGAGTATGTTGGAATAGAGAAGAGTACGGTATGTGCGGTGGAGTACGGTGGAGTACGGTGGGTCACGGTGGAATAATGGAGTATGCTGGAGTATGGTGGATCTGAGGAGTGGGCAACTAGGCATCGGCACCACCGGCACTGGTCGAAGTTCTATGCTGAGCCAAGAAACTTGCGCCATCGCGAAAGATTTTCGAACGATGCACACATCAAAGAGTGATGAATTCCATTCATGCCGCATGAATCACACGAGTTCATGCGCAGGCCTGCGCAGCTCCTGCAGTATGCAAGCAATGAGCAAGAGCTCCGACACTGCGACTCGAGAGGGTTCAAAAGGTGCCTTCATTTCTCGGACCTCGTTGATGGAAAGCGCTTCCATCCTCTATCAACCGGCACAGGCTAGTACAGGCTATGGGCATCTAATCGAGATTCCTTGTAATGAGTCTCGCTCCCCCTGTGTTGAGTATAGTCCTGCAGCTGCGCAAGCTAGTGCAGACAACGGCTGTCCTGCCACTGAAGAGCTTGGATCTGATCCTCGAGTACCTCTCCCGCAGTCACATGATTGGGATCTACAGCTCTGCTCGAGTGAAACACCTCGGTCCAAGCTAAACAAACCTGCGAGCTCTGCTGAAGCTGGAAGTGCCAAAGGTGATGTATAGGTAACGGCATAAAGCAATCGCTTGAGGTGGCTCGCATCTATGCTCTACCATAGTTCCCTCATCTGGCTGCAGGGACTCCTCAGTTGTAGAACGCAGCCCCCTCAACGGAATCATGCAACATGGGTGATGTGCCTCCACGCGTTCAGACTTTATCTGCAGCTCCCTTGCTAGGAGCGTGCATCTGTCTTGCTGTTCCGTGACCGATGCCTGTAGCATTGCAAGAACTTGTTGGCACGGCCAAGGACAAAAGCTCCCCGCCTCGAGTTCTTCCATGCGCAACCGGAGTCTCTGCACCTGCCCCACAGCCAGGGACGAACAGCGCAAGTGTACAAGCTAGCACATCGTCTCAGGCGACGGCTTCTCGTCGAGTTTCCTAGCCGACTCACAAGAACACCCTGACATGCACTAAGTCACTAAGTGTTCGCTGTAAGTCTCCGGCATCAAGCCGGCCTGCATGGAACGTCAAGGAGCGCAGCGCGATCAGAGGCCCAGCAAAAGTGTGGTGAAAACATGTGAAAACGGTGTCAAAGATCATTGACATTGGCTTCAGTTGCGACCTGTGGTGCCCGGCAGATGGCTGCCAGGTGGCGTCGCACTTCCAGGCGAAGCCCTTGCATCATCACGCATGCAACGAACTGGATATGGGAATAGTGCGGAAACACACTTTCTCTGGAAATTGCCGAAGAAGAGTTTCGAGAGGGTGCTCCGGGAAACTTTGAGCTGCCGTCACCCATGTCTGCGACAACTGAGATAGTTTGCCATATTCATGCAATTGCTCAAGCAACATTGGAGCATTTGCTTTGCAATGCCGCACAAGGCCTTTGTTTGGCAACCCGGAGCCTGCAACTGCCACTTCCGCCGCTCCGCAGATGTGCAAGCTGGACCTGCGACTCCTGTCACCACCGTCATCACTGTCATCACATCTGCACTATCTGCACCATCTGCACCCTGTGTCAAGCAAACTCATGTCCATAGCTCTGGAGAGGCCATGCTTCATTAACGCGGACAGCCACGCCGGTCCATGCCCTGCCTCACACTGCGACCGCAGCTCCTAGCCATCTCATTGTCATAATTTAGAAAGGTCATCAGAAAGGCTGCCAATTCACTCTCTGTCCGCCAACATGCCTGCTGCCAAGGTACTTCTATCTGCTGCTCTCGCATCTGCAACAATGTGGCCTCGTCAACCCAGCACTTCAACGAGTGGATAGTTTTGTGAACACTGCCGTTCTCAGAACCTGGGATAATTAAGGTTTGAGGCAGCAACCAGCAGTTCCAGCTCCTGGACATGAGCCAGAACAGAATAGAAGCCTACATTCTTCATGCCTCGCATCTCCGTCCTTGTGCTTTGCTGCCATCATTAACGCACACTCTTCATCCTGACCAAATCCCGCCAAATCGTGGGACATCTGAGCTGCGAGTGCGGTCGCATGTGAAGGAATGAAAGGCCTTCGTCTGCACAGCGGTATTCACAGCGTCTTGTGGGGTAAGGTGGCCCTGCAAATCGAAACCCGAAAGGAGCTGCACCATGCCAATCTGTAACATCATTCGGGCATGCACTCTCAGCCGGCCTCAAGAGCTGCGAGGCGCACCTCCCATATGCACGGGCGAAGCTGCGGGAAAGCTTCGCACTTCTTCAAGATGTCACAACGAATGGTAAACAGCTGCCGTGCAGCCGACTCTCAGCTCATTCCTTTCAGATCCTTTGAGATTTTTGACCCGGCTAGTAAAGTTTCGGCGCCACTCCAAGCAGCTCGTGCGAGGTTTCGTGGCAACTTCGCAGATTGGTTTGCGAGTGCTCCTGGGGAGGGGGTTTGAGTTGGGCCAGGCTGCGACCGTTTTGGTGTCAGGTTGAAGGTCGCACGCCAGCGACATCCAGCCCATGAACATCAAGGACGGCGGGTCCAAAGAAGACAAAAGTGCGAAAGCGACTCAAACTTTTCAAGAATGGTCAAAAAAACACCTACGAACTTCCAAGCACATGTGTACGGCGAGACATTGCGACCATGCAAGCCCCAAACCCAAACCGACCTCAGATCTCCGCTGAGCCTGACCCTGATTTCTTTCTTGCTGAATGAGAAACTTCTTTTTTGCGATCGAACTGCCAGCGGCTGTACCAGCAATACTTGTGACTGGGAACTGACTCTGCTGAGAGGCTGCTAGGTCTGCTCAGTGATTGAACACAAGCTGGGACGAGGAAGGGCAAGGCCATCGACTTTACAAAGGTGCTGACGGGCCCTTCCGCAAGTAAGTACTTGTCGTAGATCTTCATGAGCTGACGGAACTTCTTTGGAGACACACATGATTCACTGGTCGGATCAGCATGGCAGTTTGTGGTAAGGGTCTCAATACATGCCCAGCTGCACAGCTCGACTGTGTTTCTTGCCAAGCACGTCTTCTTGGCCATCCAAATAAAGCTTCGTTGGGGACGACCACGTCAGAGATTCTTTCACCCCTCAAACCGTTCCACAGAGCTCGTCTCGCTACGTTGCATTGGCTGTGGAACCGAGTGGCTGTGGGCTCGCTCGGTTCGCTACGTGCTGGATAGAAATGTGAAAGCAGCTTCTGCCCAAGCAGCCAGCGCGCCTTCAAATGAGCGATTTCCGCCTCCTTCCGTTCCATCGCAAGGGCATGCCTCATGCATTGCACATCACACTGGGTTTTTGTGATGAACTCACACTGAACCCGACGAAGATCATGCAGTCACTTTCATCAGAAGCAGATGTGAGGCGAGAACTGGTCCTGCTGAATGCTAAGCCTTTGCTGAAACTCTCTGGAAGCACATCTTGCGTTGAACATAAGCACATAAACTTGCATCCAGTTGCCATACCTTTATGCACGTACAGCATGACGTACATATGCCAAATTGGCTTTTCCAGCAAGCGACAACTGCTCGTAGTGCGGGATGTGTGTTGGGTTGCCAGGCTGGCCTCAGGTGTTCAAAGTGTTCGAATACACCGCCACGGAAATTCCGTGGCGTCATCTTCTTGCAAGGGCCAGATGCCGTCTGAGCTTCTTGACATTTGGTATCACTTGATGCCACCTCAAGGCCACAAAAGAACACAGGGAGCAGGCCCGAGGCTGGGGTTCATGCTCCCGGGATTCGAGGGGGCACAGGTGTAAGGATAGTCTACCTCTGAAGAGTTCACTGGACATACTGGACGTAGTAACTGAGTTAGTTATGGAGCTCTTGGACTGACAAAGGTTCACAAGTGACACAAAAAAGAGCCGTTCACTGACAGTTCACTTGAAGTGGCACCACCTCGCACACACTAACCCCGAAACCATCCTACACCGGACAGCGCAACTGGATTCGCGAAAGAGGGAGCTGAGCGAGCCCAAGACTCCACTCTGCGCCGTGAGATGTAGGTGCCGGGCTGATGCCGCCAGGGCCACAGCGTCTGGCCTGGCTCGTCTGTGGTCAGACTTCCAGTTCAAAGTTCTCTGAGTCTCGTGTACAGCGTACTTCAAACTCCCCTGACATACTCCACTTGTGTTGGACGCTGGCCCCGACAAATGCTGCATGCAGCTTTTACAGCAACTCTCAAACAGGAAAATGGAAAATGGAAACACAGAAAAGCTCTCAGAACATCCGATTATATCCACAAGCTTCGTCAGGAATGCATGGGCAAATCCCCGGAACCGGAGTCGGCTAGCATAGCCGTCCTGAGATTGGCAAGGAGTGGCAACTTTGGCAGCAAGCATTTCTAAAGAGCCTGAAAGAGCCTAGTGGCTTAGCAACTTTTCGACCTCGGAGAAGTCAACCCGACTGGCAGCATGACTCTTCGAGGCTCCTCACAGCAAGTACAAGACATCAACACCTGCGGGAAACCTGCTTTTGGCGAAGGGCACCTTGTCCGGCATGCTTTGGCCGGAGATGCAGCAACATGGCGTCAGCATGACTGCTATGGGACCGCTTGCAACAAATATGTGGTTGATTCGAGTCAGTGTGGCCTATGGCTTAGTGTCCCGGCGCCTACACCAGACATGTTCAGACATGCAAACATATGATTCTGCAGCTCCTCTTGTGGACGGAAGGGTGATGTTGGCTCTAGCTCATGATGTCGGATCAGCACATTGAATCAAGGGGTCGTAGCTAGAACCATCTCTCATCACCCTAGCTGCTCCATTCCACTCTGGTAAAACTAGGGGCGATGATCGCGGGCACCTGTGAAATACGAAGGGTCCAGAAGCCTGATTTTCACGCTTTGGGGTGCGCTGTCTTAAGGGAGTGCCTCCGAAAATGCGAAACACAAATGGAAACATTGCTTGAGGCAGCTTCGAAAATTTCGAAAATTTGGTGCCCAAAGCGGCTGTAATTAACGCCAAGTTTTTCAGGGAGACTTTGAGAGCAGCTGCGGCATCTCAGTGCTCGTAGTCCAAACCGCTTCCGTACTTCCATGCCTCGAAGCGCCGATGCCTCAGAGCGCACAACAAAGGCGCATGCAGGCGTTCTGGCACAGAGAGAGCGCTCTCTCCAAGAATCGCATCTACGGTAGCACACTGGGCTCGTGGCCACTGGAATCTTTCCGTTGCCGGCAGGGAGTCCGCGTAGGGTCGCAGCAGGGGCTCCAACTTCGAGAGAACCGTGTAAAGGCCGAGGGCTCCCAAGTGGCTCAAGGCCGCCCCCACGTTGGATGGGCCCATACTCCGCACAAAGAGTGGAATGATGGCTGGGTCACGCGTCATCCAGGAAGTCAGTGTAGGGGCCATGGAAGACAGGCTGAAGACATCTTGAAGGATGGGCATCATGACCTCCGGTCCGCAGCGTGCAGAGGCGCTGAGAATGCCGCCCATCATCCTTGTGACAAACTCCGGCTCGTCATCTGGGGGTTGCGCTATGGACCGGTACATGGTCCACTGCATCGAGAGATTCGGTAGATAAGGGTTAATCTGGCTGAGGTGATCTGCCTTGAGCAAATCCAAGGCCAAGGCCTCTCCGATGGCTTCGGTCAACCGCGGCAGATGCCGGCACAGGGCGCCAAAGCCACCGAAAGACAGGGGAGACTGGATCCCAGCGGCGTCGCCCACTTGGAGCACCCGGTCGAAGGGCGTTGGTAGTGGGGAGTCCTTGTAGGCCACGAAGCTCGCACACAAGGCTCTTCGAACCTGCAACTGTTCCAGTGTAACCTCAGCGTGCATGAGCCGACATCAACTCATTCGGTTGTGAAAATACGAAATTCCAATTAAAGTCACGCGAGATCACAAAGAAGGATGGCGCTGCATATTCTTTGCGGACAGGTGACGTCCTGATACTGCGGCAGTGCCTCGACATACTCCTCAAACACGTCTGCGATGGACGGGAGGTTCTCCAGTCCAGGCAGAACATATGTAAAGTAGTACGTTGTTCTCTCTGTGCCATCCTTGCCACCATTTGCCGACGGAAAAGCTTCCCAGAAGGCTTGATGACCTGTTGTCTTGGGTGTGCAGCCGTAGAGGTAATCCCCTGAAGTGTTGGCTTCAACTGGGTAACCGCTTGCCATGGTCCCAACCACTAAGCAAGCTGCGTCTGGTGGCATACCGTTTCGTGCCTGAGCAACGATCGGTGAGCCGGCGCCCATGGCATCTAGGACGAGCCTTGCCCTCAACTGCACTTTTCCTTCCGGTGCATCCGGTGCATCCGGTGGATTCTGACTCAGTTGTAGCAGGGCTCCGTCATCAAATACGTCGATGGCTTGGAGCAACGTCCGCTCCAGAATCACTCCCCCGTCATTTTCAAAGCGATGACGTGCTGCGTCCACCAGTACTTTGGGTGAGACACCAGCATTCAAGGCTTCAGCATAGAACTCCACTGCATGAGTCCCCTCCATCCCAACACGCGAAGACGGCCAGCTGGACTGCAAAGCCTTAGCCGCTTCTTCTCTGCTGATGATGCCTTGACTCACCAAAGGTTCAAGCTCTTGCGCATTGATGTTCCATTCTTGGTCACGACCACGAACAACACCTCGCTCTACAATGCAAACAGAATACCCTTGATTCTGCAGAGCTCTGGCCACCAAAATTCCAAGAGTACCACCACAGACAACAACATCAAATGTTTGCGTTCCTGGGTCCGCTGGCGAGGGTATCGTCCTTTGGCTCCCCGATCTGCGAACTACTTGTTTGGGGGGCTCAAGGTCCTGCCCCTGTGCTTTTCGAGCGGCCCGCCTTTGGATGTTCTGCCACACCATCTCCGCACGTCGAATCCCATCAATCGAGGCGTTCCCTCCCTTGCCTGGTGCGGCGCTGCCAGCTGATTCGCCTGCTGACTGCAGGAATGAAAGCACTTTTGGAGGCAATGTAGTTTGCTCGCCGACCTTCAACGCTACGAGTTGGTTTCGTGCTGCTCTGCGCGATTTCCTTCGACCTTCGCCTAGAGTTGCAGCAAGGCCCGAAGCCAAAGCCAACGACGATGCCCATGTTGAGGCAGTTGAGCTACGGTTCAGCCTTCCTGTCGAAGCCAGGGAATAACATACTACACATTGTAACATGTGAAAGCATCAAGACATGAATCATGAGACAAGACCTGCCTTGGAGACGTTCCCTGTCTTGGCCAGCGAGGGATCTGGAGGATTCATGCCGGAGCCCGCCATCGCTGCAACGGCCCAAGGAGGCCTCACACCATGCCTAAATTGGGAACTCTGCACCCGACTGGGCCCTGGGCATGGAAAGAAAAAAGGGGCGAAAGCTCCGTCGGTTTACAGAAGTCTGAAGGCTCCGTTGCGGCACTCAAAGTAGTCGGCCCGAAGGCCCTAAGGACAAGTCTGTCACAAGACCAACGGTAATTTTTCTTGAGGCCCGGGTGCGGCATTTTTTGGGCTTGCTTTGGGTCCCTAAAGGAACCCTAGCCGGTATATAGTTTAGGGACCTCAGGTTCACGCCCTGAACCGTTGAACCTGCTCCTTCGGTTTACGAGAACCGGACAGCGCTGTCTGCTCGCGGGTGTAGCAGTAAAAATACATCATTTGCAGCTGTTGGGAGGCCGGACGGGCTGCTCCTTTTCAAGACATGAAGAGGGAAAGCGAGACAGAAGGAAAGACAATACCTAGATGATCACTGTTACAAAATCTGCGGTTTTCCATATTCAGGAGTTGCAGTTGAAGTGGTCGACACCGCAACACTGCGTAGTTGATCGCACTTGAACCTCTTGAACACCACTAGGTCGTTAGGAATTGACGACCTCTTCCAAATGCTGCGATTTGCGGCTTTTGCAGTGGCTGCACATTGTCGCAGCGTGGGTTGTGGCAGCAATCGGAGCTTTGACAACTTCGGAAGGCTGGAGAATACAAGGAGAACTTGGCATCAAACAACAGTTTCTGCTTCTGCGCTTGGCCTGCAGTGAAGCCAGGGATGTGCGGCAATCCAACGCGCGCATTCTATCAGACCTTTGCTTGGTGACAAGAATGCTACTTGCTGCCATGTGGGTCTGTTGTCGGACCGACATGCATTGAGCTGTCAGACAATTGTGCACAGTATGATGATCTCCCATTCACGGGGCCTCTTGCTATGTTGCCATCTGTCAACAGCCACTCAGATGACTATCCGATATGACGGCCAGTAATTACTGATCCAAGATCACACGGCACGCTCACATCAAACTTGTCACCAACGTCGTCATCACGACTGCGAGCATGGTCGAGGTCATGAAATTAGCGATCTTTAAACAGACCCTCTTTTTGCTTCTCAGGCAACGGTCTGTCGCGTCTGTGCCACGGCCTCCCTTGCCAAAGGGAGGTTGCCGGGTCTGCTTGAGTTGCCCTTCCAGCAATGACTTGAACCCCCTATCTACTAAGACTTCTTTACTCCTTCCTGTGCAACAAGAACTGGACACCAGCGGCCACTCCAGGGATCCAACATGCTGCGGCTGGCGCACTGCGGCGCATTCCGAGAGCCGCTGCTTCTGCTCTTGGAAAAACGCGGTCGCACTTATGGCGGTCTCAGTTGGCCTGCACAATCAAGGCCTCACAAATTGGTCCAAGTGTCGACTGAGTGTCCATGGAGTGTCCAATGAGTGTCCACAGTGCCAGGCTGAGCACGCGCACGGTTGGAATCAAACCTGCCAACCTGCCGTCTCAGTCTGGGACGGCTTCAGCGGGTGAATCCACTCCATGTTCCAGTGGCCTCACATGGCCATCTCGAAAGAAACTCTACACTCTACACCTTTTGCGCTTCTGGCAGGCAGAGCATGCGGCTCTGTCTATACTCTGTCTGTGCTTTCTCGGTGCTGGAAGTCTCAGTGCATCTCCGGAGCTCTTCACTCTCCGCACCGGCGACGAGCCTTTGTGACACCAGTGCACACATGTGTTCACCTGCATACACCGGTGTTCACTGCGGGTGAACTGTTCAAGTGCTCTGAGCACATTGTGGCTCGCACCCGACTGAGACGTCTGGCCTCGCTTCCTCGGGAAGAGAGGCATCATTCTAGCGGCATATTGCAGAAACACCACCATACAAAAAGGAAGGGATTGTAGGAGATGCGTAGTTGTGGGATTTGCTTCGGCCTTTCCGAACCCAAACCCCAACCTGCCTCGCACAAGTCCTCACGTGACGGCGACTCTTGTCCGACGTCGTTTTTGCCTTCACACCAGGGGTACGGTGTGCACTGGCATGCACTGATGCAAACGGTGAGGTCTCATACATACCTGCTGTGGAACATCTCGCTAGAAATCACCACTTCAGCACAGCTGCCTGTCTCGCAGTTTGACCCATCTTGACTGGCAGCGTCAGCCCCACCTCACCAATCTAATTCCAAGCGCATGTTCTTCGCGTTCAACACCATGTTCCAACATCCAGCCTCCATACTTTCGTCTGTACAGCCTCACAGGCTCGGAATAAGCAAGGAAGCAAGGAAGCAAGGACATGCACAGCATCATGCAATGAGGAGAACTTTGAATGGCCAGAACATTGCACGCCACAAGCTTCTCGAATCATGAGGCTTTCTCTCACTGTTTTCAGTCGAAGGCTTGCGGGCTGGCAGAAGCACATCCACGATCGTGACAGAAAAGAGCTGTGGTGCCCCTGCTCGGTCATCATTCGAAAGGGCTATTAAGGAACTTGGCAAGTTCTGCAACTGCTTGTGGAAAGCCTCTGAATGCAAGGCTGCATCGCACCAAACCTTCCTTTCTGGGTTCTGTCTGGTTGGGATTCTTGTAGGTGCCCTGGCAGTAGATGTGATATCCCCTGCAACAGAAGAGCATCTTTTTGACTTTTCCACACATGATCCTCTGATAGCCAATGCATCCGGCATTGGCGACGTCTCGTCGGAACTCCCAAACTGGCTGACAATCTTCGTAGGTTGGGCTTTGAAGACTAGGAGCCGACATCGAACAGCACAAACAGCCACAACATGAATTCAAGCTCTTTGCTCTGGGCCATGTCCACGGCAGCAGCTGCTGCAATCTTCTTCAAACGGCCGAGCACTAGAAAGCACTGAGTCAGGGACTCCATGTCACCGTGGCATTCATCGACGAATTGCTTGGAGGATCGCACTGCAAAGTCATTGCCTGGCACTCAAGCACTGTCGTGGCTTCATGCGGGAAGCATGCGGCTGGCAACTGCCGGAATCAGGTGAGGTGAAACAGCAAGCTCTGTGCATTGTGCATGACGCCGAGCCTGCTGGACAAAGCTCTTCAGGGACAAGATCAGCCTCCACGGACAACTCCTGGCAATGGCGGCGGAGAGTGATAGATGTGATGCATCCTTACTACACAATCCGAATGCAACTTGCAACCAGCTTAGCTCAACAACTGGAAACTCAGAAGAAATGGAGAGTGTAGGGCTCGGCACGCTACTCTGCGAAGGCGTCCTTCGAGTATATCTCAAGCTCGTCCCGAACAATGGCCGGGCCACCGCCGTGAACATGCATGAAAAGCCACCTGGGTCGCAGTTGTGCGCCAAACGAGCACCTACTCACATTTGTCTTTGGGCAGCGTGAAATGCAGCCTCGGAGTTGTTATGTTTCCGGCAGTTGCACGTCGCCATGTGAAACTCTTTATACTGATATAACTATAACTGCATCGATTGGTGCCTACCTTAAGCGTTGCCTTCCCTCGCAGAAGCCGAGACTTTTTCACACTTTGTATCCCGGATTTCTTCTTCCACACAATGACATCCAAGATCCCCAGCCAGGCGCTGCAAGGGATGGGAATGGATTCAAAGGCAGACCTTGCACACAGTCTCCGCTCCACGCCCCCAGTGCAAGTTCATGTCTTTTCCAAATCACACTATTCCCTCGTAAGACACGCTGCTGAGAGCTCGGAAGAACTGTGCGCAGTCGAATGAAATGTCTTAGAGCGCGAAGTGTTGAAGTGCACACTTCAGTGATAGAAGCTCCGTGTTTGATTGCGTCTCTCGCTCGTAGGTGCTTCTAGCAGGTGCACCTTCGACCCAACAGTGTGCGATACGCAAGTCATCACCTTTGAGGGCACCAGGCAGAACGCAAGCGGCCAGGAAGACATTGTACCAGCTCAAGTCGGCAAACGCGTACAACGAAAGGCCCGCACCGCCTATATCCGCTTATTACGGTGGAATGAAATGACCCGCCTCCTGTGCGGTCCAAGGCTGGATGCCAACCAAGGTGGATTGGAACAACAGAATTCAACGCCTTCTCCAACAGTTTCCACGGAAGCCAGGCTGTCCACGAAGCGGCATAGGTCAACAACATCCAATTCGCGGGATTGGCGATCATCTGCGGTGTTGAAGCATGTGCCCTTGTTGCGTCTGCTTCGGCCTGCTTGGCTCAATATCATGTTGAGTACGCTGACGGCTTCCGTACCTGCAAGAAATCGCCGCACTGTATGGGTAAACTTGTCGGATGCGCATCCTGGCCAACAAAATCTCCGCGGCGCAGTGCCTTTTTATGAAGAAGTGGAAGATGTGGAATCCAGTGAAGCAGTTGTGTGCATTGCTGAGCTCTTGAAAAAACTTTCTTCCATGCCGATTCCGAAACAAGATGGATCATGACCAAGCGAGGGAAATGTCAAGGCTTGGTTTGATGCCCCCCAAGGTGCCTCCAAGGTGTAACCTTTAAGCGAAATGCGATGTTGTCTGCGCTTCGCGCTGGCATTCTGATCTCAGCCCTTTCTTATCTTTGTTGTACACACGTAACACCGCCTTTTACCATGCACTGAACTGTGTCGACACGTATCTACCATATCCCTCTGAGAACTGAAGCTCCGCGGGATTCGACTGTGCCAGCACAAGTTCGCCTCAGAAACAGTCCGTTTTGAGGCAGACATGGCAGACTTGTGGTTGCTTGTCGGAGCCTGGCCCCTTGACATTAAAGCCACGCCAGCGATTGTCAACCCAAATGCAAATCCACAACATTCCACAGCCCACCCCAAGACATAAACAATCAAGTGGAATCTCTGAAGCTCTCTGAAAGCCTCATACGTTCTCCTCCACTGGATGGGGAAGTGAGGGGTCACAAAACGGGGCGGTGCCCCATGCCACAACGTCTGCCTCAAAGACAGACCAGTTTGAGGCGGACTTGTGGTTGGGTCAGAGCCCGCCCTCACTTCCCGTTAACGCCATGCGAGGCAAGCGGGCCAAGTGGCGCAAATGGGGCAAGTGAGGCAAGTGAGGCAAGTGGGGCAAGATCAACTAGCTCTTCCGGCCCACCAAGTGGGGCAAGTGGGGCAAGTGGGGCAAGTGGGGCAAGTGGGGCAACATCAATTAGTGGTCGCTGCGGGCTTCCGCATTGCACCCTCGCAGCTCTAGCTCACCTTCATTTTCCAGTGCTCGGAGGACTAAGGTCAAGAAAGAACTTCGCGAGTTGCGTGCATTCAAAGCACACATTGAACAAGAAAAGGTGCCTGCGCGGAAGAAGCCGGAACTTGCCGAGCTTGATGGCTTGGAACAAACGATGATCAAAGCTCCGGCTGCTGTTACTCCGCCCCCGGCCGAAGAGAAGGGACCAACGGAGCACAGCAACACAAAGTCCAATAGCATCTCTCCCAACGTTTGCAGACTGACCGTGTGGCTGTGTACTCGATGAGCTGGTGGCTTGCACTTCCAAACCAAGCCGATCCCGGATTTAGGTCAAACGCTGAAGCGCGAGAAACACGTAGACAATGCGGTCTCGGGAAAGATCCGTGCTTGCCATTTGCCGTGCCGAAAGTAGCGTTTGAAATGTAAGGGGGAAGGACAAGATTCTGCCTATTGCGGCTGCATCAGTTACTTCAGGTGCCTGCAATTCTGCAACTGTTTCTGTGAGATTTGATGAATGTGAAGACATGTGAAGACTCTGACTCAGTCTTGAAAGACGCAAACTAAGTCGCCCGCCAAACACGAGCATTCACTCCGATGTAGTCCAGCTTCAGCCTTGAAGTGTACGAAGATGGCAATGCAAGCAACTACCATGGCGGCTTGGGCCTCAGATTCTTCCGAAGCTTCTGCGGATCATCCTTGTCGAAGAGAGGTTCATTCGTGATGGGTCCAGGTGCACACATGTCCTCGCGCGCAGCTACATGGTCAGCACAGGACAGCCATGTGGCCAGTGAAAGGCATGTTGTAAGATGCGGTGGCGCCTCTCTCTTGGCCCTTGGCTCTATCAGAAACTTTTCGTTTCGGGGATCTGATTTTGCGATCAGTTTGAAGCGCTTCTGCCGCAGGCCGCGGAGTGAACAAAAGATCCGGGCTTGGAGACAACTCTAAGAAACTCAGAAGGTTGATGATCTTGACAACTATGACAACTATGAGCACACGAAGACATGATCCCAATTGCCCAAGTTGGAGGATGACAGGCCGACTTCGTTGCAAGCTACGACACTCAGCTTTATTTATTGATGATTCTTGCAGAAAGATGGCACACGGGCAGTACTTCGGGCTATCAAAATCACAAGGAGCAGGCGTCGTCCTGCACACTGTGCACCGGCTCACCCTTGACATAGCGCTTCCAGTTGTTCACCTTCGATAACACACGGGTGCCAGAGATTGCATTCAGCATTGGACACCAGGGTGTTCCCAAGAAAATGGTGCACGACTGCTGCCAAGCTTCCCAAAGCGCATTCACCAGGTACCAGCCCTGCCCATCTCCAGTGTCCTGCCCGCCGCACTGTACTGTACACGGACAACGGCGGATTCAAATGGGACTCCAGGCAAAATTGTCAGAATCTCGCATGAAGATGCATTGTCAGCAAATCGCAGCAAAGACCCGCGGAGTCCTTTGTATCATATTTAGACACAAGGTCGAACCTTGGCGCAACAAAGAAGGCAAGACAGCCTCACCAATTTCACCTGCTGTCTCTACCATGGTATGTTGAGGGTTAATGAGCTGAAGCTTTGTTCAGGCAAGCAGGGTATGGACATATTGGACGCATGGCAGAAGCGCTCACAAGCGCTCGTGCAGGACTCAGGACCTTCTTCATTAGAAGGTTTGGGATTTGCTTCGCAAACACTTTCCTCGAAGGGCCACCTTCCTCCCTCACTCTCTGCGAGCTTAACCCTGCAGAGGGAGGAAAAGTGGTGACTACCACAAATGAACCACAAGAACCACACCAGGGAATTTTTACCTTCTCTAAAGAAACGCATTATTTCAATTTCATCCGCCCTGGACAAGAGGTGGCTGGCACTCATCACACAACACGATGCAAAACGACCCATTTTCCCTTCCCCGTTTAGAGGTGTGCGCCCTGCCCCCCCCCCTGCATAAACAGTAGAGTCGAGGCTTCTTCTAATTTTGTTTGCATGCCCCCACTTCTTCTTTTGTTGGGGTGCCTTCCCCCCCCCCCCCCCCCCCCCCCCCCGCACCGTGCCGACCGATGACCCGGGCTCACATTTCTCGGTTCATTGCGGGCCTCAACTTGTTGTCTGCTCGTTTTTGGGTTGAAACATGTTGAAACCATCGCTTGGACTAGGGCAAGTTCGGATCTCGTGGTCCGCTAGCGGCAGCATTCTGGTCAGCTTCCGCGGTACTTACTCGATCAACATGGTACAGCTTGTTCCACCAGGCTCGCAACCCTATGTCCTTTCACTGAGGCTTCATTCTCGTGGTCGAGAAGAGGTGACAAACCAGATAGCTCTATCCTTGACACATTATTCGATGCAAGGTGACAATTGTCAGGGGTAGATGATGAATTCTGTTTTGCCACATGCGACAAGTGGTACTGCTTCCCTCGTTCACAACAGAGGCATCTTATGACCACAGCATGGCCAAGCATGGCTAGCGGCCACAAGTTTGGTTCAAACGTTCCCATGTCCCCCCTTCGGAGGGAGCGGCTCAAAGTGATCCATACCCTGGACCGTTAAGCCTAACCCAGGGTCAATCCATACCCTGAACCGTTGAACCTAACCCAGGGTCAATGAGTCAACATCGTTACAGACTCACTCTAAGTTGATTCACTATGCAGCCATTGATTATGCTCAACAGCGTCTTCCCTTCCTCTCAGCAAGAGGCTCAGCTTGCTTCCGCTGGTTGTACGCGTCAATGTGCATTTGGCACCTGTTCACCGCGGATGCGCGACAGCGCTGGTCTGTTGTCGATGCTCTGAGATGAGCATTGCATTGCGCAGAACCCAACCTGCTGCATACATCCAAATTGGAAATCTCTGGGCCACCCCCATATTTGCCTGACTCACGCACTAGCCACCTTCAATCGGCTGCAGTGTCCCGTCTTGCCGGCATTGCCTATCAATGACTGCGAGAGCTTCCTGGAGATGGGGAAGAAAGGCTCTGCAGCCATTTCAGCCTGGGGCTGTTCAATGCTACTGAGAACATCTGAGAGAGCACTGGCAGCAGCATTGGATGCGACACGATCCGGGACTGAGACAGAAGAGTAACCCAACATTCCATGTGGACACAGATACCTGACCAGGCCCGGTACCCGGGGGCAAACACAGGGATAGTTGTGTGCGATTCGAGCAGATCGCGCAAAATGTGGGCGGCACTCATAGTTGTCTATAGGGCCAGGGTGACTCATCGCCGTCAGGCGCACATACCTGACATGTATGACAGCGTAGACAAGTGCAGGCAACTTTGCCCGTGATGCGTCTGCTCATGTTGCTGCTTTACTTGAGAGGATCCTAGGTTCAAATCTGCATCTAACACATTGGCCAGGCCCGTGGGCATTTATCAGAAGCTCGTTGTATTTACAAAGAAGGCTTGTAATGCAAAATGCCGGCTCTCGGATAGATGTGCAGATGCGTGTGAAACGCCACTCAGCCCTCACAAGCAACTTCGAATGTCATACCCACGTATTTTCACACACTCATATGAAGGCGGCTTGCCAGTGCTTGGACACGAAGGCCATGTCCAACTCTGGAGGAGGAAACCGGTAGAGATTCCGCCTTGGAAGCCCAATCACGACAGAAACACAGAACTCGAGAAGTGAAGCGTAAGACTCTGAGCACGACACACTGCGGGACCCTGATTCCGGATTTCCTCGGTGACCGCCTTGCCATGGCAAATCATGGCAAGTTTCTGAAGCCTTATAGCGCATGTGCAGAGGATCACGCAACATCATCGTGCAGCAACGAATCCGAACTCTGTGCTGCTGGCAAGGTAGAATTATAGAATCCAACTGCAGTCACTCAGACAGGAGCATTTGCAGAGGCCTGCAGCGCATGTGGCATGTGCGGACTCGTAGCCTGGCCATCCTCCAGCAACAGTCCGAGAGTTTGCTGCCTAAGCTCAGAGTAAACACGATTGGACGCTCCTCGCTGGATCTGCCAGGCCTGAAGCCATCGATGCAACCGCCTAAAGCCGCAGAACTGTCCGGAACAGCCTAGATGAAGAGCTGGTCGACTGCGTCGATTGCGAGATCAGGTAGTGGTTCACCTGCTCCTGGCGAGCAATGCCGTTGGCCATGAACTGGAAGGCCCTTGCCCTGGAGCCCTGGAAGGCCTGAATACAGCGCATGTCTTTCTTGAAGGTCTGCCGGTCAAACTTGGCTGCTCTCGACGGCACCTCGGTGTCACAACATGATCAGCACTAGCAAAAAAAATCCAATTGTCGTGGTGGAACACCGTAAACTTTTTTCAAAGAGCGTTCAATGAGAGCGAAACAAGCGAGGCTTGTGAAAATGTCTACTGCAAAGCTGCTCTGGGCGACTGCAACGTCAAATGGGACTATCACCATTGCACAATACGACTGGCTCTGGCCTGGGCAAAACTAGGGTTCCCAAGCTACCCAATACATGATGAGAGAAGACTTGAGGATCTCCCACACGCAGACACGCAGACCGACAAGGCGTCGATGGCCGATTGTTGGGATAACTTCTTGGGCCATGAAGCTGCCGCTGGTGATAATTTGAGACTGCTAGACGCCCGAGGGCCGAGAGAGGCTTCGGAAAGAGGGTGTACATGAGGATGTCCGCATCATGCTACCCACACAGCCCACAACAGTTGCTCAGAGTGGGACTCGTTGGTAGAAGAGCACATAAGGTTCTGCTCGTTCAACCTGTCAGGAGAAGCACAGCACTAAACCTGCAAGAGCGCTGTGTCTGTTAGGAACGTGAGCTGCGCATCAGTCAGGTGTCCTGCTCGGAAGTCACGCACGTGACTTGCACATCATCGAACTCGTACCAGTCCTGCCAGACAGGCCAAGTGTCGAAGGCTCATGCTTTTGTCGAGCCGGGCGCAGGTTTAATCTATCTCATGAAACCAGGAAACTGGCAGCGGACTTCGCCTGAGGTCTTCTCTTGTGCTGGCAATACGAGATGTAGTGGCCGCCGCCCATGGAACCAATGTGTTGAATGAGACCGATGAGCCTCCGAACAGGTCGGATGATGCCAAGCTGCATGAGCTCATGGACGCAGCCCAGCCTGTACTCAATGGGCCTGAGATGAGGCATGATGAGGCATCTATTATTCTCTTATACAAAGTGCACTCTGATTCACTCCGAGGACACATCATCTTGTGCCGGCAACTTGAATCTGATCCATCTATACTTGTGTACCCCGTTCCTCCTTGCGGCGGAGGGCTCCCCCCATAGCAGACAGGTGTCCGGGATCCACAAAAAGGAATGATTGCACGAAGCCTCTCAAAGCCCTGAAAGCCGAACAGCACCTTCACACCCGCGATCTCCGGTTTGGGTTGCCTCGCCGCTGGGCCGGCCCCGGCCGAGGCGGGTCGCGTAGCGCTTTTCAAAATGGAGCCCTAATCCAAATACCGGGCAGACGTGCAGACTGCCGAGACCGGGACTCCTAGGGACTTGATAGGGACTCCATAGGGACTCCGCAGGACTCCTATTGAATCGAGGGCCGCACTGTGATGGCACCTCCTCCATGAAGGGCGACATGTCCAAGTGCGTCGTCTTAGCCCCCACGAGTTTTTAGCTTGATTAGTTACCTGCTTGACACTTGACGCAAACACAGCGGGCAAAGGGTGCCGGACCACAGGGAAGGTCACCACACGGGAGTTCTTGGAGCCATTGAACCTCAGCACTCGTCCTGCTGCGTTGCTTCGCCCTGCTTATCTCAAAAGAAGAAACCAGAGGTGCGTCTGCAAAGACTTTTCCCCCACAACTTCTGGGCTGCCGGCCAGCCGTAAGCATTATCGAACCTAAAGCGCTTGAGGTGAATGCAGAGAACCTCAGGCAGCTCCTGCCGCAGTCTTGGACTCGCGAGCATACGAAGTAATACGACGTGATACGAAGTGAATCACTGCAGCTCTCCTTAAAGACCATTCGCTTTTCGCAATCGTTTTTCCGCTTGCAGCGCTCACAGAAGTACTGGTCCTCTCAAGGCAAGAGCTGCTGCGCCACCCCCCTTCGCCACGAAATTACAACTGACTGCAACCGTACGACCATTCCAAGCACGCATCCTTGCCGCCAAGGTATTCTGGCGCACAGTACCTCGGGCGTGTCTAATGCCAGTCCAAGAATATACCTTCGAAGACATCCACGAAGCATGAAGTCTGCACAGGTGTCTGTTCCTTTGTGGTATCTGATTCTCTGTTCGGGTGTCAGTTCAGGATGAAGGACAGAGCTGGCATGGGAACTCTTTGTAGTGTGATCCAATGTCAGTCTGCTACTCAGGGGGAATGCACGTGCAGCAGCAAACTGTCTTCAGGAGCTGTTCTCACAGCTGTGGGCCCAGTCGGAGTCACCGCAAAACAAAGCAGACGAAAGCGCGCAAAATGAAAAGACTTGTGGGCCTCGTGCTCGTTCGTAGCAGAGGCGCGTTGTGATATACATGAGGTATTGCAAATATTGCATGTTTTTGACATCGATGGGATTTTGCTTGTTATACCTTGCACCATGGCTCAGCCATGTAACGCATCAACAAACTCGGAATCTGCAAATGGCAATCAGATGTTGCCATGCAACATCGCGAGCACAACCTCCCAAGCATAGCACCTCCGAAGGCAGTCGGTCAGATGGACGCCTTTGTCCTGAGACAGTGGTCACGTGTGGTGCAACGAAAGGTTTTTGCCCATCCTTTACGAGTGTCTGGGCTGCGTGCGTAGAACCAGCTTTTTACCTGTCCAGAGGTCGGCTGAACAATGCAAGACTAGAGCCCACCCCTGAAAAATGATTCTGACTGTTGCTTATTGCTTGCAGATTCTATCTTGTTGGCGGTGCTACCACTGCACCTGACAAAACTCCAGTTCTCCGTGCGCGCATTCTCATACGGTATGGGCGGTATAGGTGTGGGGGGCCTAGATGAAGCTGCGGCAGGGCCCCAACCGTGCCCATTCCCACTCCTCCAAGAGGTGTCTTCGGTGCAGAGGGCAAGACATGTCCAGCGATCGGCACACCACTTCCAACTGCGAGTAACTGGGTAAACCAACCCTTTTGTAGTCGATGCAGTGAGCGGGTTTGCAGCTACCGCTTGACATGAGGACCTGGCACTTCAAAGTCACAACCTTTAGGGTCTCTTGCCTACTTGATCTGCGTACATGAAACAGGATTTTGTTGCTACTACGGTAGTATCCCCAGAAGGACACCCCACATGCACACTCACCAGCACTTCTAAGGAACCCTACATGCGTCGACAACAAAAACACAGACCCTGTCTCGCATCCTGCCTTGCCACCGACGGAGTTCAAAACACCCGACCATGACGAGCTCCGCAACCCGCCAGACCTGCGCAGCACTAGTCCCTCAAAAATCGGCAGCCTAGTAGGTGTGGTAGGTGTCGTAGGTGTGGTAGGTGTGGTAGGTGTGGTAGGTGTGGTAGGTGTGGTAGGTGTGGTAGGTGTGGTAGGTGTGGTAGGTGTGGTAGGTGTGGTAGGTGTGGTAGGTGTGGTAGGTGTGGTAGGTGTGGTAGGTGTGGTAGGTGTGTAGGGTTGGAGAGATGTCCGGAGTTCAGGGTTCCCGGATCGGACAAGCGGCCCTTGTCTCTGCAGGCTGGGCGACGAACTGACGGATGACCTCAGTGCTCTGAACACCAAGTAGCCCAGACTCCAAATGCCGAGTCTAAGTGCTTGGCAATGGCGAGCCATCACTAAGAGAAGTTGCAGCTTCGTTTGCATTGGGTATTGGTACCTGAAGCGCTGAATCTTACAAAGTTCCATCGGAGAGCCCAAAAAAAATTCGAGTGCTGGCGGGGTTAACACAGTACTCACTGGAGGGCTTGTCGGGGCACGGAGACATCATAGACGGCTTCAGACGTCCTGAGCAGGAAGGGCATGCGATCAAGCATAACAGCACTCCACACTCCAGCTGGTCAAGCCGGCCTTGATATCTGCCGACATTCAAGACATCGGACCTTCTGCAGAGAGACGGAGGGAGCGAGAAGGATAAAGGAGAGTTGGAGAAAGCGAAAGAGATTCATATCATGACTACAAGAGAAGAGGCAACTGGAATCTCGGGGCGCCGTGCACAAGATACAATCTTGCCCTGAAAGAGCTCGGAGACGATGGATTCCTTGAAATACAAACCCATGATGTTTGCAGGAGGAGACATGCATCGCATTGCATCGCCCTACTTTCTTGCAACCTGGAATTGGCCCCAGACAAAGTGAGTTTTCAGCTCTGGTTCGGAAGAGCCTCCAGTCGCACCTGCATGGCGACGCGACAACAATGAGCCATGTTTGTGATCATCTCAGCATCTTGAAATGCCTTGTGAGTGGTTGCCTGTGGCAGATTGGCCTTGGGCAGGACTTTCAAGGGTGCTAGAGGCTGCCAGGACACTCCCGAGAAATGCTGGCAATGACTACGACTACGTGCGCGGCCAGATGCAGACAATCCATCCACATTGTCAGAAGACCTGCATCAACTCTCGGTGCAGTGGCAGCTGCACGCAGCAAAGCCCTTTTGACTCTGCCTCGAGTCAGAACAAGCGGAGGATAACCTGAAGTGCATCTTTGAAAACTCGCCAGACGCTCTCGGATCACACTCGCACTGCATCCACATAGCCTGATCTCTCCAGCGTCCGTGCTGCTCTCTGGCCCCTGGCAGAACCTAAGATGCGATTGAACGTGGGCAGGGGGGGGTTCTTGGAGTCAAAGCAGGCCAGTGACAGTGAATCCGGCAATCCAGGAATCCGGCTGGATGAGCTGCTGTGCCGCGGATGAGCCCTGCGGAATCGCTTCGCCTGTCAAACTCAAAGTCGGAAGCGACACACCACATGATGGGACACGATCCATCCTCCAGCCCAAGCGGCCCCAGCTACTGCAAAAGGGGAGCTTCTAAACTTGGGAGGTTGAGCAGACGTTTCGGGGCAGGCCTCCGGACGCAAGGAAGTCCGTTGCTGAAGACTTTGGCGTTCCTCATGAAGTTTTCCAAAACAAAGAGAGGCATCGTAAAAGAGTGCCCCATCCGAAGATCGAATCCTGAATTGGTCTTTTGCGCGCTGGGTCCAGCGTCGCTGGCTGAGCTCGTGCCTTGATGCATCTAGCAGCTGTAGTTCAGACGACTCGGATCGAATATCACTGACAACACTTTGAGAACTTGGCCGTTCTCGCTGGAGTGGTGCTGGGAGCCATAGGCTTCATCCGGCCTGAGAGCGCAGGTTGCAAGCCAGAAGCTTGCAGCCACCGCACACTCCTTCCAAGCACGTGGAGCATTTGGAGCTGCACACTTTCCTCCGGAGCTCTTCATGGATGTTGTCCAGAACGCATCGGAGGAACTCCTTCATCGTTTAAGAAGCACAGAGCCCAGCACTTCTGAGCACTTCTGCATGTCCACATTGTCCTGGGAGTCTTGCTGCGCGTATCCCTGGAAGGTCGGGTTCAGCCTTCGACCAACATCGCACATCTTCCGAGCTGCCGACTTCACTGGACTTATACTTTTATGGAAATTACTGGGAATCGAGGACTGGGCTGCTGCACTGCCCGCAGCACATCCTCAGGAGAATGGTACGGCGCAGACCTCGGCAGCCATGCTGCTGTCTCAGGTCTTGGGCGCTGGTGAATGGTAACCAGGTTCCTGACACGTTCTTACCTGGGATATTGACAAAAGCTCATCGACGCTGTCGCCCCATCAAAAAATGACATCCATTGCAGCTTGGCCACCCCAATCCTGCTCAAACCAGTGCGCGAAGGCCATGAGCAACTTCTGACGACTGCTTTGAGCTCTGGGCCTTCGAGGTTTGTGCAGCACAGAAGTTCAAGGCCGGTTGGTCGAAACATGGCCCAGGCGAGAAAGCATGTTCGCAGTGACGGAAGTACTTCTGCATGCCGTGCGTGTGCCTCAGACACCGTCACACTGTCCAAGAGCTGTGCTTCAAGTTGTCAGATTGTTGTGGGTTGCCGGCGTTAGGCACTGCAGCGCAGCGTTCATGAAGCACGTATTGCCGAGGTTGAGAAGCCTTGGAAGCGACTGAACAATGTACATGCCGGCATTCAGAATACAAACCAACCACTTTTTGTTGTGTCTTCTGAACCGACGAAGAAACAGATTGCAAAATATTACATAGCAGTTTTTGCTACATTCCAAGAACATGTCAGAAGATATGATATGATATGAGATAACATCATCTAACTTGATACAACATGGAAAACATGAAGAGTTAACATGATTCACATGACATGTCATGAAAAAACATGATACCAAGTCATATCACATGATGAACCATGATGTAACATGACATAACATGTTAGCTATACATGATGCAACCATAAGAATGGATGAAAAAGCCTGAACAAATACATTAAAAAGTATAATAGAATGCAACCGGATATGATACGACATGATGTGATGTACGCTGATATACTAGGATAGCATAGCAAACAAGATAAAATATCATTTCATTCACCGACAAGAATGGAGGGACTAGGATCCTCCTAGCATCACAGCCAAGCTGTCACACCGCAATATACCTTTTTCTTTATTCCACGCTTGCTGTCGTCCAGGTGTGCTCTCACACTTCGTAGAACCCTAAACTCCTTAGGGATAATGCTTTGGAAGTACGAAGTAGGTCCAGGTCGTTCACTCCTGCAGTCTCACTCTGGACCTGTCACATCTCGCAGCTTTTTCGCAGCTGGATGTGATCCTCCTGCCCCGCGGTCGTCACTGACGCTGCCCCATAGTCGAAAGACTTCCTAAAAGCAGGGCGACCCCACGGGGGACCGTGCAATTAGGGCGGGCTGGGTGGGACAGAAAAATCTGTCTTGCCGTTTTGGCTCACAGCCGAGGTGCTTTGAACCAAAAGGCGGGTCGGTAATAGAAATGATACATGTGCACCCAGAGCCTGCCAAACTCTACACATGAGTACATTTCATTCACCGACAAGAATGGAGGGACTAGGATCCTCCTAGCATCACAGCCAAGCTGTCACACCGCAATATACCTTTTTCTTTATTCCACGCTTGCTGTCGTCCAGGTGTGCTCTCACACTTCGTAGAACCCTAAACTCCTTAGGGATAATGCTTTGGAAGTACGAAGTAGGTCCAGGTCGTTCACTCCTGCAGTCTCACTCTGCAGGACTCTCGACCTGTCACATCTCGCAGCTTTTTCGCAGCTGGATGTGATCCTCCCACTGCACTCCAAAATCTCCCAAAGCACTCACTAAACGAAGTGGAACACCCGCAGTACAGCTGGAATAGGAAGATCCCAGATAATCGCGGGGAACTCTGCGGAAAAATTCGCGAACTGGTGCTTCTGATGCCACCCATCACGGAAGCCTAACCGACTGATCGCGTCGGCCCAGTTTGATTTCGAAGGGACCCACTCCCAGTAAATCCATGTCTGAAGGGAAAAGAGAGCGAGATGGATCAACTGAGAGAGTCTCTCCAAGTTCGGCGAATCTGACCGACCTCTGATTAAGCACATCAGGGCAGCAACATTGTCTATGTACCAGACTCCGCGCCTTCCGCGAAACTTGTCTGGCCTCGCCACCAAGGCGTATAGCACCATGGACAATTCGAGCTGTGCGATCTTATGCTCACCAGGACTCATAGAGTCATAGAACTGTCTGCCTATATTCGCCACGAACGCCTCGCGGCCTGTAGGCTCTGTGTCCCAAAGAAGGAGGAAACCTCCTGTCCCTTTGGCCACTTCGTCTTCGGCAGCATCGCTTGCTGCGACAAAACGGTCACACTCGGGTTGGATGACGAAAAATGGCCGAAACGGCTTCACATCCAACACTGCTTGTATAACCTGCAAAGCTGTGAGCAACGTCGTTCCAAGTGGCCTTGTGACGCATTTCCAGCATGGCCGCATAAACCAAATGCTTAATACGCACTGACTCATGGTACTTGGTGGCCGCATAGTGAACTGGCATTTTCTCCGCGCCCTCCAAGCCTGCCTTGTCGACCCAATCCCCCAGCGCGTTCAACTCACGCGGGGTTAGACGAAGGAGCACACCAGCCGACGGCATTACTCGCCGCCATGAATATGAGGTGAGCTTCTCAACATCGGCCGTCACGCTCACCATCTCGTCCTGGGTCGCTGCCACGGAGGACGCCATGCTCCACGGGTAGCCTTCCTGGTCAAAGGCCATCCCAGCACCTGAACGTCTTGATGGCGGCAAAGCCTCCCACGCGGCCTGCCATGCCGCAGCCCAATCCCAGCCGCTGCCAAAGCGGGCCGGAACAGACCACAGGAAGCCTCCTCGCAGCCTACGCTGCTTTCCCCTAGGACACATGCAGTGCATTGTGGATTCTGAGATTCGGAGGCAACACGAGCGTTTAACGTGGACATCGCCCACCAAATTCATGGCCTCGATCCGGTCTTCAAGCAATGTTAACATCGCGGGTTCCGCTGGAATCGCTTGTCCTGAAGGTTTCCGGCTTGATTGTGGCCTGGGCTCATACACGAGCTGGGATACCGGCCATACCAAGGACGCTGCGCCATTGAACCAACGAAGTGACTGGATTGCTCGTCCCGGTGCCTGTGTGCCACTCTGCAGAAAAGCGTCCAAATCCACCAGATCCAAATCTGCCAAGCCATCTACGCGACCTCGCAGAATCTGGAACTGCTTGAGCTCCGCCAAAGTGGTGAGGGCCCTCTTCACCGTGGCCTCTTCTGCTGCCTGGCATTTCTGGGTGGCCACCCGCAAGCAAAGGTTACACCATTCCCTGTCTCTCGCTGGGGTAAGCGCCCCAGCCGGACGAAATGCACCCGAGGCCACAAAGAAGTTAGCCAAGTCGCCTGCCTGCCCTGACGCATCCGCGGCCTGGGGTTTCCTGGGCTTGGCTGCTTTCTGCCCTACCCGGGGTTTGCCGGCCACCACCCTTGGCTTTGGCTTTGACGCCAGAGCAAGCTTGGAAGACGGCGCAGTCGTTGGGCGAGCTGCGCCGGCTGCAGCGTGCACCAGGCCCACGTCAGGGCTGTTGACCTCTACTGCGGCGCGTGCACGTGCCCAGGCCTCAGCCACATTCCGACCAGCCATGTCCAACGCATTGGCATACGAATGGAAGGCGTAGGCAAAGTCACCATCGTCCTGCAAACAGAAGGCTGCACGCCATGTCGCCACCTGGTTCCGGGATGCGGTCGGGGGCTGGAGGATAGTGTTGGATCTCGACTGCAGAACTCCAGACTGAGATTGCCCCGACAAACCCATGGTCCTGGAATACGGCCCGCAAGTGGCTCGCAAAGTCCAAGTAGGCCACCGTCGCCAACACCACCTCATCAGTATGATAGGCACTAACAAGTGCAAAGTTGGTTTCGAGGTTCGCCTCAAAACCCGCATGAGGATGTGTCATACTAAGGGGAGACTCCCTTATTGACACTCAGAAAGCTCAGCAGGACAGAAAAATCTGTCTTGCCGTTTTGGCTCACAGCCGAGGTGCTTTGAACCAAAAGGCGGGTCGGTAATAGAAATGATACATGTGCACCCAGAGCCTGCCAAACTCTACACATGAGTAGATATAACATAGTCTTTATATAACGTGGTATAAAAACCTTATTTGACATCATAACGTAATATATAAACCATGATAAGAGATGAACAGGCAGAATAATGTACATGATAGACAAAGCAAAATGGAACAAAATGACAAATGACCATGTGCTACAACATAGAATAGTACAAACTGATATGATTTGATATGGGTTGACATAAGATCATGTGATAAGGACAGATAAATATCAGATGGCACAGAATGATATAGGTCGCAAGGGAAGGACTGCACAGAGATATTGTTTGCGACTGAGAACATGCCTGGAGGCCTGGGCACTACATTTGTGAAACTTGCATATGCTTTATGCCTTGCACGGAGTCAAGGGCTGCTCCATGGACGGGCCCTCACGGGCGCAGGACCACGTGACATGTTTTTGAAACAGTGCTGTCGCGTCGATGATGATCAGGAACACCGCGGGATGCCGTCGGAACGTAATTCTTTGTAAAACACGAGACCTCTCTTGCTGTCTTTCTCGCCATGCACCTCCAACAGATTTGGCAAGAAATTACAACTGGGAAGCGTCGCACGTGATCTCTTGCGTTAGGTGGACAGTTATGTTTACCTCCGAATTTAGCTCCTTTACTTGCTTTTGTTCTTGATGCATGCAAGACATGGGGTCCTCGCCTCCAACGTCTTGCAACCGGTGAACTCGAACTATAACAACCGAGAAAAATTTGCCCGATCGTAAGTGGAGCGATGGATGATCGACGAAGCCGACATGTTAACTGGGAAAATGATCAGTGTTGCTTCTGAATCTGTACAGGGATACCTTTCATGACATGCGGATGGAGGCCCGGACCGTGTTGCTTACGAATCTTGAAAGTTTAATGATGTGTTCTTGGGGGGAAGGTGTGAATCTATCATTCATGTGAGACAAGGAAAATGCTATAAAAAACGAGAAAGAGAAGAAACGGCTAGAGCGAGACACAGAGACAGACAGAAAGGCCAAGGACTGATGAGAGAGAGAGAGAGAGAGTGTGAGAGCCAAAGATGAAGAGAGATGGATAAGACACATCCGACGTGCGTACCGAGCGCTTACTGGGAATGCTGCCCAAGCAAGCCCTTGCGGTTCTTCTGCCCGGTCCTGTGAACGGCCATTTCTGGACAGCCAAGCCTAGGGAAGCATCGCGGAGTCCTGCTCACGGCAAATCGCGTCTCGCTGCCGCTGCCACTACGCCTGCAGCGAGTTGCTTGGAAGTTCTGGGATGTTTATGGATGTCTTCTTCGGACTTCTAAGATTCTAGGACTCAAGCTTGGAGGCTGTGCTTGGAAGAGACGTGAAGTCCCAGACACGTGAGGGAAATCCCACCACCCGACAAAGCTCCCTTCTCGACTGAGAACAAAAGCGCTGATGGCCTTATTTCACTGCTGCTGCTTGGCATACCGGGCTCCTGTCGATAGCTGCCTCGGTCAGTCTTGCGGACACACTGCAGCTCATTCCGCGCACGTTGAAGCTTTCCAGTATCGCATTGTTGAGTAAGGCACCCATGCCGCTTTTGGCAGGCTGTGACTGCAAGCACAACTCACAACTCTGTCGCAAGCTTGGGCAACTATACCTGGCTATGTAAGCTAATGACTGCAGCACTGCGATGATTTCGACGAGTTGACAAACATCACAGGTATGGTCTTAAATTACGGCAGGCAAAAACATGGCACATGGACACGTGGTATACGCTATCCGCCAAGGCCTCGGGCCGAAGGTGTATAGGTTCTCCTAATCCTCCATCCAAGCGCAAAGCCATATGGAGGACCCCTTTTTTTGCCTGGAAAAGGGTTCCGACCAGAAAGCGGACGGTTCGCCAGAACAAGCCCCCCACCGCCCCCCCCCCCTCCTCCCCTTCCCCTCCCTTCCCCTCTCCGCGCCCCTCCGAGCCCCCCCCCCCCCCCCAAACCCCCTGGCTTGAGGGGCCTGGCTCAATTTTACGATAACCCTCAACCTGGAACCTTGAACCCTAAACCCAAAAAAAAACTAAACCCAAACCGTGAACCTTGAGCCCTAAGCCCTCAACCCTAAACTAACCCTTAACCCTCAACCCTCAACCCTAAACCATAAACCCGGAACCTTAAACCCTAAACCCAACCCTTATTGCTTGGGGTCCAGCGACTTGGACGCTGCGGAATCACGCGGATGCGCTGGGCCGGGCCGAGGCAGGTCGCGTAGCGTTAAAATTATACCCTGCAGCACCTTGCGTCACTTTGAACTGCGCGTTGGGCGACCCCCCGCAGAACTCGCGGGGGACTGCAGCAGCTCGCGTGATGATGCTGATATTGATGCTGTGCTGTTGAAGCTTGTGTTGGGCTTGCTTGGAGTTGTCGGTGATTCGGTTTGCTTGCAGGCGCCTGCGGCAACACGTGCAACAACAATCGTTTATGATTTATGATGTTCTGCTCTTCTTCATGCACACCGGGGCTTGCTTTCCCAGGGAGGATTGCTAAAGCTAAGACTCAAAAATGATTACCTTCATTCTCGAAGCCGGTCTGCATGGCACCGGCAACTGTTGAACCACTAGGCCACAGCGAGAAGCAGCGAGACTCAGCGATTGCACTGCTTGCCATGCACAGGCCCAGATGCTACAAGAAACTCTCATAGCACTTTATTCCTGCAATGAGAGAGATCTGCTTGCTGCGCATAGGCTCCAGGATGCTACACCCCAAGCAAGACAAGCTACTTCAAGAGCCATCGACTGCATTCCTTCGCTATGCGCTCCCCTCGACCATGAGATCGGTCTCTGGCACCCACAATCCACACCGAAAGCCTTGAGACTTTCTGCCACGCTTGGCAGAGCGCCGCAGCGGCTCGCAGGGGATTCTGCAGCTCAATTGCAGCACTCGGCGACCACGATTGTGCCGAACGGATCCTGTTGAAGCACATGCAAGTCACCTGCGCTGGCTAGAGCCAGCAACGCAGTGAACGTCATTGCTGCGGTGGTTCGTTCAGCTTCTCCTGGTGGGACCAGTTTCTCAAATTCAATGCTGTGGCCGTCACGCCGCAAGCAATCCAAGATGATTTGGCCGACCTCTGCTGTGCGGTCATCCTGCACCTCCACATTTGTGCGGTCAGCGTTGTGGATGTAGTCGTCGCACATTGCAAAGTCCATGTCTGCGTGCTGAGCAGCATAGGAGCCCAGCGTATCCGGCACATATTCTGCATTCACTGCTTGCACGTCAGGCTTGGCTTGGGTCCGAGCGTCCGAAGGTGGGAAGTCACAAACTCCACCGAGTAACGATTGAACCTGTGGAAACTCTCCTTGGTCTTTTCCAGGTCCACTTTCATGATAAAGAGCCATGTCAGGGTCCGCGACCTGCCGGAGCCAAAATCCGAAGTGGTCTGCCTCCAGGAAGCAATCCAAGGAGTTCTCCATCACCTCGACCTGGTCCACAGCACCAAGCCGTGGTCGACAAAGACTTTCGTCGTCTTTCAGCTGCCACTCCGCAACCCGCTGAGAAGACATCATCGGGTCAGAATCAAAGCCATAGACCAATCCTGGGCGGAGAAGTGCAGCCGTTGCTCTCTCTGTACGGCACCTCTTGAGCGGTCGAGCTGCTTCGTTTCCGGGGTTTCCGGCATGTCCGGCCTCTCCATGGCCATGAACCCCATGAACCCCATGAACCTCACCAAACTCCATTGGATGGGGCGCACCCATGAGCTGCATCAGGGGATCCACCGGCTTTTCCAGGTTTGGCACCTGGCCTTCCACTTGTGCTTCAAGTGGGCCCAGCTCGAATCTCGGAAGCCAGTCCATCTCTGCCTTCTGAGGAAGGGCCATGTCAGAAGCATTGGGATCCAACAACTGTGGCATGGCCTCTGCAAGTTCAATGCAAGGGAGAACATCCTGAGCGGCGGCACCACCAAGTTGCAAGAGGGCCCCTTCTTCCAGTGGAGCCTGCGTCCAGTTGAAAGTTTCGCAAGCCTCAACCTTTGCCAAATCCAAGTCCAATGTTAGAGCTGCCTCCATCCGTTGCCTTTTGGCCGCTGGCAACCTGATTTTGTCTTCCGTGAAGGGTTGGCGAGCAAACATGAGAACCACACGTTCCGAATCGCAGTACAGCGCTCGTGCCCGCTCGTTGTTCAGAACACAGAAGCCCTTGATCATTGTTCCGTAAACACGTAGAGTGAGCGGCTTGTCGGTGTTTGGCCCATGCTCTTGAATCAAACGATGCACTCGCTCTTGAATGTCAACATCCACCTGCTTCTTGCGCAAGCGTGTCGTGGATGTCGCTGCCAACCAACACTCTCGCCAGCGCTCATCATAGAGGTCGAAGGCAACATCATGCGGCATCTCTATTCGCAAGCCTCAACTAAGAAAGAACTCGTGAGGCGCGGGAGATACTCGATCAAAACGGCGCCCGGAGAGGAGTTCAGCAATGTTTGGCAAGGTCGGGACAGTATTCTCGACATGTGGATCAGCGTGTGAAGCATCATGCAAAGGGAACAACACCTATGCTGGGCTTTTGCCCTCGTCGCACGTCGCTTGCCTTTGGCATATCTATGTACAAAAGGGGCAGATCCGATTTTCGAATCGTCGCCCGGGGAAGCAGAGGACATCGCTCCGAACTAGTTGAACGGGTCCGGCTGCAGAATGACCTGACGCAGACGCATGTTCAAGACATCTCTTCTGGCCGCACGAACGGCAGCCTAGGAAATTGGGCCCAAACCAGAAGCAGGTCACCTGCGTGCCACGCCAAGGATTCGTCCTATGTGAGACAGGAAACATGACGCGCCTAAAAACATGAAACCCGGAAATATAAGGTAGCAGAAGTGCTTTGGTTTGAAGAAAAGGGCTCTTCCCTGCAATTGTCAACGAGTCACCACAACAAAGGTCAACTGAGAATCGTCCTTGCCAACCGATGGTGTGAGCTGAAATCTCAGGTCCTCAAGAATTCACGCTGCCAGATGAGTGATGGAGGCATAGCCTGGGACCCGTCTGACCTGCGAACGCTGATGCCAGCCGACCAGCCTCAGCATGGGCTACAGCCACTTTAAGTTCAACCAATGGTCTTTGCCAAATGAGAGCCAGACATCCCTCCCGATGGCCGTACAATATCCTGAGCGGACAACATTGGCAAAGCTACGGAAAAAGACAAGCCCAGCTCTTGACAGCACCACACTCACTGACATCGAAGGTGCTACGGAATGCAGCCGGTCGTGCACGGCGTTTGCTGGCAATAGTTGTTGAGGGTCATATAGGTGACTTGACTTGTCAGACAAACCACCATGCCTGTTCACCCAAACCCTGAACTGGAAGAGGTCGTGCCGCCGCCCATGCCGATGCTATTTCAGCCTGTTTCATCCTATTTGCTGCACTTTGCGACATCCGACACCTTGTCCTTTGGGACTTCCACTAGCAAGGCGATTCACCAGGACGTACCCAGTGCACGCTGGTGCTCTGGGTACAGAGCTACAATGCTATTGAAGCGGAACGTCCTTAAACATTCACTATCGCTACAGGAATGGTTTGGGACTTTGTGAAGTCAAGTCTCATTGAGCTCTCGCCAGCTGGCACGAGCCAGGGCCCCGTGACTCCGGCTTCCTCGAAGTGCAAACTGAAACCGAAACTGCGAGTAGGCCCAGCTACGCAGCTGCATGCAGCTAAATGCTGCTAAATGCCGCTACCCAGTCTGCAACAGCTTGTCTCAGTTTGACTTGAGGGCGTTGCACTGAGGTACAGCTTACATGGCTACACCGGAATCACTGCCGCCTCGGAGGCCCCCCTGGTCCAAGATCTGTTCAACGGGCAGTGCCTGGAACAAATGCATGTCGCACCATCTCGCATGGCACGATGCAGAATCACTCGTCTTTACATGTCTTCGTGTCTCACGGCGTCTCGTGCCTTCAGGGATGGACAGCTGGGCGACATCAGCACCATCAAGGTGTTGAACCTTCTGCCCTATCTGTGCACTCTGTGTAATCTCAGTTGCATCAGCTTCCAAATTGCCTGTGGCTCTCTGCATTTGTGGCTCTGCATGCTCTTGCGCTCAGGTCTCTGCACGGCCGGCTCGGACATGGCCATCGTGAAGATTCCCGTCTCCAGGGCCTGACACTCAGTGGTTTGAGCCATGTTCAGCCTCATGATGGGTGAATCACTAGGATCTCAGTAAGCAGCTGCCCGCGTTGAGCTATCTGTTAGGGGGCTGGGCTTAAGTTCTTGCGGTTTGGGGACATTTGGACCCGTTTCGGGCTTAGGTCGGTTCTCAAGGTGTTCAAGTCGTTTGGGCGTTTAAGGGTGTTGGGGGCGTTTGGGCCTTTACGGACAGCACTCTTTAGGATACCATCCCAACGATAGGCATAAAGGTTGAATGGGCCCAGGGCGTGGAAGTCATAATAGGGACTCCCTGTTCCCCACCTCGGGTCGAACTGGGTCCTTGCAAAGTCTGGTAGGTTGGGAACTTCGGTGCTGAGTTTTTAGGGCCTAAGCCAAAAAAGCCCCATTCATTCTCAACCGTACGTCTCCTGGTAAATACATCTTCAACAGGTTTTCCGCTCGAGCCGGGCGAAGGCGGTCCACTCCCAGCGCTTACAATTCCTTCCCTCTCAACCTGGGCTGAGTTGATGTGTGTGTGTCTCGTGTTCGTGTGTTTGTGTGTCTCTGTGTTCTAGGTGTGAATCGCCCGTGTACAGAGCGCCTTGCTCCGGAAGAAGAAGGCAGAGTCTTGGAGAGAAGCATTGCGTGCCACCACGTGCTCCGTGCGCGGATCAACCACCTGTACAACCACAGCTTTGGCAGGGTGACTGCTGCCTTTTTTTTGTGAGACGATCTGCCTCGCAGATGATCTTCGTCTTCTTTCCAGTGGACGACCTCACGGTGGGCAAATTGGACATGCAACAAAGACAAATTTGTATGCCTAGGCCTGAAGAAATGCAAAAGCAAGCGAGACTACCAACAACTGAGCAGTGATCAAGACATGATTGTTCGCAGTCACCGAGTTGCACAGCTGATAAGCCTTTCTGGAACAAACATCCGCAATATTCAGAACTTCTCTGAGCGACACCAGCAGTCAGCAGCCTCTGACGCACTTTTCGTCACGACTGCAGCCGTGTCAAGGATGTCAGCAATGACCTGCTGCAAAGGTGAAAAATCTGGGAGCAGATTGAGGGTCAGTCTCCAGGCTCAGGCCAGCAATGCAGCCAAGCAGATGGAGTCCTCTGAGCCCCAGTCAATCTACCGAATAACACACGAAACAAAAATCTGTCGGAAAGTGCTAAACGGGAGAGCGAGCGCTACTTCTCTAAGCGGCGTCTAAGGAGCGAGCACTGGTCAGCGTGTCATCACCTCGGGAAGGAAGTCTCCAGTCTCCTCATGATCTACCCTTTAAACAAAGAAAACACCATTCTTGTCGTTTGCTACGTCTGCCAAGACGTGAAAGTGTCGGACTTTAGGGTTGCGGCAATCCCCGCTTACTTCTGATTTGGGTTTGTCAGCCTTTCAGGCTTTGGGTCGGCCATTTTTTTTGCTTTGAAAGTTCCGCTGTGATCACGGTGATCACCCAAGGATGGCTTCACTTTCCGACCAGAAGTCAAAGTGACAAAGCATGACGAAGCCCAAAGCTACAACTGTCAAAGTCGCAAGCAACAATTTTTTACGGCTTGCCGATGCCTGCAGAAGACGCGAAGCAACGAACAAGGCCTATCATGCTGACATGCACCTCTGAGGAGGCCCCACTGCAGAAAAAAGCCGGGCTATTGCGCCCAAGCATTCTAGGCAAAAAGGATCCCTTTTTTTGCGGGAGCAGACCTCGCATCTGTCAAAAAAAACGCAAGTTCGTGAGTCGTGATGGAACAACTGCCCCAAGCGAGAGACGGCTCCGGACGGTGTGATGCCACGTGATCAGGCTTACCCAGGTGCGACCGGATATGGGATGACCAGGTGCGACCGAGCAGGACTGATGACCAGGCATGACCAAGTATGATCCACGGCCTGAAACTTAATGACCTTCGGTGGCGGGACTGGATTCAAAACAGGGCGAGGTCGTGCTATAACCTTTGCCAGCTAGAGATTGGCGGTCGTTGGCGGGACAGCAACATTGAACACCTACATCTGTTGGGAGGTGTTAAAGCAAAACTGCATGTCACGAAAGTGCATTGCATGGATCACAAAGCCTATGCACCTGTCTCCTGCAACGCTCGAAATTGGATCTAATCCGATGACTGCTCCAGGCATACACACTTCCGAATGCGGAGTGCTCTCGAAGCTGTATATACCAACACAAAAAGCTTCTCCACACGCCCACCATCATCCGCCATCAACTCCGAAGTATGAAGCAGCCAGCAACAAAGGCCAGTAAAGCTTGGCCACCCAAAACCCCACATGCCCAACCATCCTTCCTCAGGCCGCTGCCAACATCATCATTTTCTGGCACCTGGCCAGAAGCCACAAATTAGCCATAAACACGCCTTTTCAGCACTGGGCGAAGACTTTCAACGTTAACCTGATTCCCCTGCACAAAGCCCAAAAAGATCAGAAAGAGGCTTGGCCGATGAAAAATCCTATGCGGAGGAGATGCTAACTGGACTTCTCATTCTTGCCCTGGGTTTCAAACAGGGAGCAGAGTTGAAATAAGAGTTGTTAAGAGTGATACATTGGTGTGAGCGGATTGTGCGCAAAGCCCTCGGAGACAAGCCAAGAGATGACAACACTCTCGTTGCATCTTTCACATTCGAGCCACTCGCAGCGATGGAGGGCCGGTATTAAAGTGAGGTGCTTCACTGAAAAATGCCATATGCCAAGAATGTGGTCTGTGCCGTGTGCAGGTCGGACATCTTCTGTCCCTTCCGAATTAGGCTGAACCCACCTCCAACAGCCGGCAACTCCGAGTGGGGTAACGTGTTGAAGCCACAAAGAATCGGTTCATGGCAACAAACAATTACAGAATCAAAGCGCATAGGCGCAGACAGAAACAAACAAGACGCACGTACACACGCGCACACACGTTGGAAAGTCACGACCCATCATGGAGTGCACACAGCAGAGAAGAGTAGTCAGCTTTGAGAAGTGTCGAGAAGTATGGCCTCAAGTCATGGGAGTCTTTGACTGATTCCTCGAAAGCTGTAGGTACGTGAGGATGGCATCCCATCCTCATATCCTAGCTTTCAATCTGGAGCTTCCTTGGCCCACGCCAGAGTGCGGCAGCGGTTTCTCCTCCCTGCAGAAAAATACTCATCCGACGGTACATGTTAGGTAGCGCCATGTTCAGATGATTGCACACACACACTAGTTGAAACCACGAGGGTTAAAAATTGGTGAATCTCTGGTATAACAGCGGGCTCAAACATCAAGCCGGAGCGAAACAGACTCGGACCCCACGTTAGTAGCAGCGGAACGGCCACCAACGACTAGACGTAAACAAACTCACCCCATCGAACGCCGCAATCGCACCTGCATACACACCGATCAGATCCTCAGTTTACAGTCTACACATTGTCTAAGGTCCGCGCTTCAAGACTGTTACTGGAGTTTCGTCGGAGGTTCACTGCCAGGTTTTCTAAAAGTCATACACTTCAGAGGCCAGCTCTCAAACCTTGACCGGAACACTCCGGGCTGGCATGACTCCAGATCCGTTTTTCCACACGCGTGCTCGCCCCATTGCAATCAAAATTGGATACTGCCCTTCGATTCAGGGTTCCACACACACTTGTTGAAACCGTGAGGGATAAGTATTGGTGAATCTCTGGCATAGCAGAGGACTCAAACATCAAGCCGGACCTTAGCAGCAACGGCACGGCCACCAACGACTAGACGCAAACAAACTCACCCCAACGAACGCTGCAATCGCACTTGCATACAGACCGATCAGATCCTTAGTTTGCACATTGTCAAGGGTCCGTACTTCAAATCTTTACAAAGTTTCGTCGAAGGTTCACTGCCAGGTTTTCAAAAGTCATACTCGTCAGGTGCCAGCTTTCAAACCTTGACAGGAACACTCCGGGCTGGCATGACTCCAGATCCGTTTTCTCTCACGCGTGTTCTTACGGTTGCAAGCTGAATTTGGGTACCACCCTTCGATACAGGGTTGCACACACACACATCAACCATTAGAGTTTGGACGGTACAAGCTAGGTAGCGCCATGTTCAGATGGTTGCACACACAGACACACTCACTCACTCATGCATGCGCTGCGTTCGCGAAAGCACGTGAAAGCCAGCTCTCTGGGCCTCTTCAGGATCATCAGATGTGAGACCTTGCATCTCCGCCAAGATTATGATTGATGACGCCTGGCAGCTCGTCGCCAGCGTTGCGCTGAGCAACTCTTGTCTGAAATCTACATGGCTGGACATGGCCCTTCATGCGCTCCATCGAAGAACCGTGCGTTGTGGACTCCCAACCTCTCTGAGAGGCAGCTCTCGCAGGCTCTTCCCTGATGTTCTTGGCCCGTAGTGATTCTCAATCTCCTTGGCAACTCGACGAAGGCAGTGCACAAGAAAAGGAATAAGATCGCAAAGACCACACTTGTCTCGAGCTGAGCATCCAGATTAACCACCTTGCGCTGTCCTGCGGGCAGATGCTGAATCGTAAAACCGTCGCAGTTGTGCATTTGAAAAGCATCCCTGTAACAAACACTCTGCCAGCAAAACGAAGTCGCCCATGCTAGCTACACCTTGATTCATGGAGAACCCCTGCTCTTACCAGTAACTGCTTGCTTTTGTTCTTCTGGCACTACTCCCCTGAGTGCCCGACGCGGTGTGTGCGTGTGTGCGTGTGTGTGCGTGTGTGTGCGTGAGTGTGCGTGTGTGCGTGTGTGCGTGTGTGCGCGTGTGTGCGTGTGTGCGTGTGTGCGCGTGTGCGTGTGTGCGCGTGTGCGTGTGTGCGCGTGTGTGTGTGTGCGCGTGTGCGTGTGTGCGCGTGTGCGTGTGCGTGCTCGTGCGCGTGCGCGTGTGCGTGCGCGTGCGCGTGTGCGTGCGCATGTGCGCGTGTGGGCGTGTGCGTGTGCACGTGCGCGTGTGCGTGTGGGCGTGTGCGTGTGGGCGTGTGTGCGTGTGCGTGTGGGCGTGTGTGCGTGTGCGTGTGTGCGTGTGTGCGTGTGTGCG